ACGCCCCATCAAGTCAACAGCTTCCCGCACCCGGGTCTCGATCAAAACGCGGGGGCAATCAGGAGTGATCCCTTAAGTCGACGACTTTCATCCGGCCCGGACATTGGCACAACCGGTAATTGTTCATCCGGAACTCGCTGCGAGAGCCGATCTTATTAGAGATTAAATTATTTCTTAATATACATCCATTACGGAGATCGAAGACGCTAATTGAAACGTAGAGCACTGCCTTTAGCCAGCGTTACCAGATTGGGGGGTTTTTTTCGCCATTTTGGGGAAAAAATTGTCCCTAGGGGAAATTTTGGGAAAATAATATCTTTGGGGAAAATACATACATTATAGGGACTTTTGGGGCTAGCACTTCTAAAACAAATGAGTATATGGCAATGTAATGAACATGCTTTTCATTTGACTAACACCCTGGCTAATATGCAAGAATTAAGAACCATTTCAAAATAGTCAAGATAGTTACTTCTTTACCTTTTTATGGACCAAAGTACTTTCATCCCAGACAATAATTTAAGTTTAGCTCAACACTTCTGCAAATTTGCTATGTTTTGAAATATTACACAATGGAGTTTCCACATATTTTAGGTTAAGTGGCAACTTTAAGGCAGAGGTGACTTATTAAAACTTCTGCATGGCCCATGTGTCACATTAGGCTTTACTACTTCGAACCGCGAGTGAAAAATTATTCTTATAAACCTTCGACACACTCAATCCCCTTTTTAGGTAGTAGTTGGCACAATTACGATTCCGTGGCGCCGCCGGAGTAGTTCGTTAGATGTTGACTTTGCTAGTCTACTCCGTTTTTTGTTTTATTCGGCCCTCGCGATTTGGAGCGCATCGGCGCACTATGGGAACCAGCCTAAGAAAGCCATCTCGTAAATGCTTTCTTCGTAACTATGATTCGAGGCATGTATTATACATCAAATTATAGCTAAAGAGTTACTTTATTATAATCAATATAATTTAAGTCTCTGACTCTTCATATTTTATAAAGAAGAACATCTGAAGTCAGGGAATGAAAAAAATACAAAAATAATATTATGATTTCAGTTAGTTTGGTATAAATCTAAAGAAAATATAACTAGAAAAAAATTCCACGTGGACCAGGCAGCAGACGGGACTCGAACCCGCACCCTTCGCAATCCGGGCGAATGCACTGACCAATTATGCTACCGCGGCCCTCACGGACCGCGTCGAAATTCTTTCTAGCTATTCTTAAGCTGCAAGGCAGCGCCATCTCTTCGCATTATAGGTAAACCCACAATGTCAAATGAATACTTTTACAAGTATTAAACATTTGAAAGAAGAAATAGCAATTATAGTTATAATTTTTATTATTTTTAAAGCATGTAACTGCTTGATGTTTAAATCTAAAGAAAATATAACTAGAAAAAAATTCCACGCGGACCAGGCAGCAGACGGGACTCGAACCCGCACCCTTCGCAATCCGGGCGAATGCACTGACTAATTATGCTACCGCTATGTCTTTTTTTCAATAAAATTAAAATACATATAATGTGATTTTATAAACTAAATAGATTTAATTACGAAATAAAACAATTGTGTTTCTCAGAAATGAGAAACAACATTTATAGCTATTATTTCGTACAATTTTTCGTGCACAAATATTATATTTTATTTATTCATTGACGGATGTCAAAACCATATCTTTTTCTATGGTCACTCACAATTTTACCGTCTGTATTGAATGAAGGGTAAAGAACCTCATTTACATCTCCCCCTCCCCCTCTTTAAATCCAGTAGGATCTTTACTCCTGTAACACTGGAACAAGTTTTGTTATGTGATAGACGTTTGATTCACATTTCTTGTGTCCTGTATCAACTTTGTATATAGTATTCGAATTTTTTTCTAAAACTTTAAATGATCCAATTTTTATTTCATCCAATTTTTTTCTGTTTAATAGATTTCCGAATTTTTCAACATATACTAAATCTCCTATTTTTAATTCACATTTTTTTTTACCTTTGTCAAAGTGTGTATGTGATTTTATCGTATTTTCCAATGCAACTTTTCTGTCTTTCAACAAATCATTAAGTGTTTTTTTTGTTTTATTTCTTCAGGTAATATATCTACATTTGCTCCTTCCAATAGATATAATGGGGAAAAACCTGTAATCGTATGCTCTGTTTCATTATATTTTTTGTACATTCGTGAGAAATAGTAGTCCACGCCAGTTTATTGTTCTTTTCGTTTAGTTTGCATCTAATTTTGTTTACTAAGGTTTGGTTTAGTCTCTCATTTAATCCATTTGAAAATGGCGCATTAGCTGCAGTGAAGCTAATAATTATGTTTTCCTTATTTAAAAAATCTTTAAAGCTCTTTGAATTTATACCTGGATATTGATCTGATAGAATCATGCCAATCTTATTTCCAAACTGCGTTACTTTTTGAACTAGCTTTATAAACTCATTGGCGCTTTGAGTTTTCGATGTTAAAATATAGGCATATCTTGTGAAGTGGTTCACGAGAAGGTGAAAATATGTTTTTGTATAACGTGTGCCACCAAATCCACCAATTGTATCAATAGATATTATTTCAAATGGATAGGTTGCAGGACCCAAATGAGACATTAGTCCATATTTATATTTACCTCTTGTTTTATTTTTTATGCAGATTTCACATTCTTCACCTATATTATTTTTATTATAAGTCATGTTTTTCGCTGCATAAAAAGGAGTAACTTTATTTTTCAATTGTTGAATTCCAATGTTACAGTAAAGATAATGTATTTTTTTTATAGAGTCTCTACTAAACTCTATAACAATATAACTATCTTTGTTTTTTTCCCTGTTTTTTTATAGTAAACTGTATCTTTTAATTCAAAAGCTTTGTTATTTTGTTTTATATCTTCATTCCTTTCTTGGTCATTTTGAATCTCTTCCATTTTAATAACATTTACAAGTCTTAAATTATCGTCTTGATTTTCGTCTGACTCTAACACCGGATTTCTACTTAAGCTGTCTGCTTCAATATTATATTTTGACGGCCTCCGTGGCCAAGTGGTTTGTACGCCGGGTTTCATGGTGTCGCCGACTCGAGAGGTCCTGGGTTCGAATCCCGGTGGGGGCAGATGTTTGTGTGATGAATACGAGCATTTGTACTCCAGTCATGGATGTTTAATATGTATTTCTATATAAATATGCTTATATATGTACAGTATATGTATTCTATCCGTTACCCTAGTATCCCATAACACAAGCCTTACAGTGCTTACTTTGGGGCTAGGCTAATTGGTGTGAGTGTTGGAAATATTTATTTATTTTATTTATTTATTTTCCTGAATAAATAAATAAATAGGTAGTAAGTAAGATCTCCTATTTCGTCGTCCGTTCTAGCTTTTATATTTATTTTTTCCAAAGGCTTGTGATCAGAAAAAACCTTAAATCTTAACCCAATCAGCCAGTGCTGCCAATATTTTATTGCTTCTTTTATTGCCAAGCACTCCAGATCGATATTTCTTTTTCTGTATGTTATTCAGTTTTTTTGAAAAATATGCAACAGGATTTTCCTCTCCATTGTTTTGTTTTTGTTTTAAGACAGCGCCTATACCCTGTATGCTAGCGTCCGTGTAAATATGTATGGGGAGATCTGGATCAAATATTTGTAAAATAGGTTTCTGGCAAAGTAATTCTTTAATTGTTTCAAAAGCTTCATGACATTTTTCTGACCAAACAAAATTATGTCCTTTTCTCAATAAATTATGTAACGGGTCTAATATAATAGACAAATTTGGTACATATTTCCCATAAAAATTTATTTTACCCAAAAACTGTCTAATGTTTTTCTGTGTTTTTGGTATTGGAAATTGTTTTATCGCAATCAAATTATCTTTTAGAGATGTAATTGTATTATTTGTCCTAAATATTTCACAGATTTTGTGCAAAATTACATTTTGAAAATTTGAATCTGAAACCTGTGAATATTGCTTCCAAATCCTGTTTTAGGTCTATCTTCAATTTTTAAAGGAATAGCCCAAAATGCCGAATTTATGTCAAGGGTTGTAAAATATTTGCATCTTCTAGCCTTAACCATTAAGTCTTCAATTAGTGGAAAGGGCTGTGATTGAGGAACTACAAATTTGTTAAGGTCTCGGAAATCTATACAAAGCCTTGATTTTTTCCCTTCTTCCTTTTTATAGGTCAGTGTTACTGGCGCGGCGAAAGGACTGTAAGATTCCTCAATCAAATTTCCTTCTAATAATTTCAAAGGCAAAGGATTCAACGCCATATATGTTATTATATATATATTATATATCCAATACATACAACCTTTCATTAGCCACACCACCGTCACCACTATTACAACGACCCAACAAATTAGCCACAGTAATATCGTGCTTGTCCATAGCCTTTTGCCGCACAGAGCAGCACAGAGCGGTCGACGGCCCCGCGCCCCCGAACGACAAATAGCCTATTATTTTACAAGCATGATGTTATTGTGGCTACATCATTGGTTCGCTACAATAGTGGTTACGGTGGAGTGGCAAATGAAAGGTGAATGATTATTATCTAATACCACCTTTCATTTGCCACTCCACCGTAACCACTATTGTAGCGAACCAATGATGTAGCCACAATAACATCGTACTTGTAAAATAATAAAAAATAAAAATAGTTTATTTCGTTAACCTTATTTTACAATAATATTCTGTGGCCAGAACTACCCAGGAAGCATGTAGTGATGCTTGTGTTGGGCGGTTCAGCTCCTCCCTAGGATCTCATACATATTAGGTATACATTAAGGTAACTAAATAAGTACTCTATTTAACTCTAAATAATTACAAAATAACTTTTTTTTAAAGGTATAGATAAAATTAAACTAAATACTGGTATGTGCATTTGTGTGTGTGTGTTTGTGTGTATGTGTATGTGTGCGTGTGTGTATGTGTATGTGCGTGTGTGTAGAACCTATATGATAAGACATTTTATCTCTCCTCTAGCCCTACGATATATTATCTTCTTGTCCACAGCCTTCCCCTTGACCGGCAGCACCGAGTGGAGCAGCTCTGAGAGGTCGCCCGCCCCCGCGCCCCCCGCGCCCCCCGCGCCCCCCGCGCCCCCCGCGCGACTCGTGGACGCGGCGGAGCTGGTGCGAGATGCCCCCCTCTACCCACCCTTGCAAGTAAGAACAATATACCTTTATGGCCCTTAGGCTGCGTCTCGGGTCTTCAACTACAGCCTAAGCCAGTTTGTTCTGAAGTCCAGTAAGGCTTAGTTTTCATAAAAAATCGTTCTAATAGAGGAACTCGATGGTGCAGGTGGTTAGCACATTCGGCCTGCGATCGTGGAAGCTAAGAAGCTTTTTCAATGGTCGGTCATTAGATGGGGAGCTCCTGCGTGCTTCGGAAGGCACATTAAGCCTTTGGTGCCGGCTGCATCTGGAGTCTGTTAAATAAGAAACAAAGCTACTTTAACAGTCGGGACCGATTAGATATTCAAGAATGGATATTTTTTTTTTCAATAAGGTGCCCCGACTGTTAACGTTACTGTGTTCCTTACAGAAAAATAAGATTATTGGACTTGTTTGTTGCTTTACAGTTATTTGAAGTAATAACTGAGCAGTCGGGTTTATTGTTTTTTTTTAATTTACCTTTTTTATTAATCTATCTAGTTTATGATATATCAGTAACTCCGTGATCATGGCGCTTGCAACAGTGCCGAAATATCGGAGACTCACAAAAAGCAAGGTACATGGTAACAATCCCACATATAACTATAATGTTAGTGACTACGAAAGTTTCAAACAACATGACCCATCTGTACGGGTTTAGCCGCACATTAAACTCATAATAAGTAAATTAACGCGTCAGCAATATGACCCGCTGCGCCACTTATTACTTTATAATTTATTAATTTCATTGTTTCGCAATAATAACATATTGAATCTATAATTAGTGTCTATCCGGTAGCCTTACCAACCGCGCGTACTCACTCTTACCGTTTCACCATACTTAAACCATTCTTTCAACATACTTTAACTTTAGTTTTCCTGTTTATAGACTTTATTATAGTAGTGTAAATTATCTCAATAAACTCTCAGTAATTGTTTCCAGTGACTTTCTATTTACCAATCTCTTCTCTAAAGGTGTATAACCCGTACACATCATTTCTGGTTTGCGAACAAACCACTACTACGATCGATCCTGCTAGGCGTATTATACCTGGCCAGTAAAAGATTAAGCCCTTAAGCAAGTTAATAATTATATTAATCACACAAAGTTCAATTTCAGACTAACCAAAATTTAATTTCAACAGGACACCGATGTACCTGACCTACTTGAATCGATCGAAACTGAACCTTCCTTCAACGACCTAGAGACTAGTATCGAGGAGAACCACATCCTCGTGACACCACAAGACCTCAGTAGTGCTAACACAATACAGACTGATGATGTAACGAAGGTACAAAGCAAAGTAGACACGCCGAGTAGTGATAGTGAGGAGCGGATGAAGAGGAGCAGCGGACAAGAATGGGATAAGACAAATAAGGTATTCCAAAAATTTAATCTGTATGGATGGGGCAGGTGGTTAGCGCGTTCGGCTGCGACAGTTGAAGTTAAGCAATTTTCGCAGTGGTCGGTCATTGGATGGGTGACCAAAAGTTTACTATCTCGAACTCCTCCGTGCTTCGGAAGGCACGTTAAGCCGTTGGTCCCGGCTGCATCTGCAGTCGTTAGCACCCACCAATCCGCACTGGGCCAGCGTGGTGGGTCATGGCCCAATCTCCCTATTCCATCCATAGGGAAGGCCTGTGCCCCAGCAGTGGGGACTTTAATAGGCTGATGATGATGATGGTGAAAGATTAGGGGAATATTTATGATGATTATCAAAGTATTAAAAGGGATGATTACGTGGTAAATAATAATAATCATTTATTTCGGATAACAATGGATCCATAGTGGGTTAGTAACAAACAGATTATACTTAAATACTAATTTTAGTATGTAAACGAAATTTTATGTAGTCAGTAAAATTATCGAAAAAATTATGGACACTTTTTTTTCTTCTGTCAATTAACCAATAATTACAAAGGTACAACGTATCAAAGTTTGAGCGCGGGGGCTTGTGACGTTACTTCTATTTCGATAATCTAACCTAACCTAACCTAACCTACCTGATAGCCAAAGAAAATACTTATTCATCTTCCCTACTGGTAACCTAAAATCAGGTTAGGTTAGCGATTGCATATTTTGAGAATCAATTAAATTTTGGATGATCATTGATTTGATCATTCTTGATGTTCCTAAGTATCTAACATCCACATTTAACTTTTTTAATTTAACTGCGAATACCCTCTTCAACCATTAAGTGCGGAGCTACGGGAATAACGGGTTCTCGAAGACGTTCGCTATGACTGCTGCGATCGTAGCAGCTTCTGATTGTATCTCTGGTTTTGTGAATATGGTTTGTGCTTTTTTCAAACAAGATATCAAATCACGTAATTTTCATTTTCTTAATTCACTCTGTGGCGGAAAATCCTTTTCATAGTTTTTATAAACCGTTTTATGATGCCTCTCTTAGTTACCACGCTTAGGTATTGCAACTGACGCACGACAAATAAGACAAATGCACTTATCCTTCACCTTACAAAAGAAAAATTCTTCCTCCCAATCGTTATTAAAATGATACGTTTTAGATTTCGTCGCTGCACTCATTTTGTACTATTTAATAATAAACTTTGTATCGACGTAGTATTGCCTTCAAGTTACAATTCAGAATGACACCAAATCCTGCAGGCGCAACATTTATATCGGCGTGAACAAATGTTCCCGTCAAATGCACCGCCCGAAATTTCTACAAAAGCGGCAAGAATAAAAAACGCGACTTTACTTTGACAAGTACCGCGCGTTTCTTTGATACCTTTTGCCGCTAGCAGAGTGTTATTTTATTACGTAATAAATTTTTGTAGTTTAGTTAAGTACCTACTTATTCTCGAAGGCGTTCGCTATGATTCTGCTCATCTCTGACTTAACCCAAGATTTTTTTTCACTCAGGCAGCGGACCGGCGCGTGAAGACCGGTGATACGATATTGAACATCCGCGGCGCGGTGAGGGACGCGATAGGGGACGCGGGCGCCGCGCCCGGCCCGCGCGCCTCCTCGCGCCTCGACACCTTCGTCATACGACCCGCGCACGCGCGCCGTCCGCACCTGCAGGACCAGCCGGCGCCTGCCAACAATGCTCAGGTATGTATAATGCGATTCAACTAAGAATAGGACCGACTGGGCGCCATATTTTGACGTTATAGCTGTCAATTCAAACCAAATAGGTAGAGTGAGCAAAAAAAATTGTGTGTGTCAACTCCAACGCACGACCGGAGTTTACACTCTAAAAACGACTGTCTTTGAACAGACACAAAACAAAATCAAGTCCGAAGAAGTCGATTACAAGTAGAGATACCTCAGGAATCGTCCCATGGTTTCGACTATCATAGGTTCCATGTCACACATTTTATCATCTAATATCATCGATATTCATCATATATTTTATTATGTATTTCTGGAAACACACAATTTCAAAAATATCACACACTAGTCATCAATATGTATTATAATTCCATCTGTACTGACAATCACTATTCCAGAGTGCTGGACACTTACCGGCATTTCTCTATATTCTGTTATTTATTTGTTTTCATTAATTTTGCTCCGATTTTATCTATTTTTAGTTTATTTATTTTATTGACATTTGTAACAACTTAATGTTTTTTATCCGTTGCCATGGCTAAAAGTGAAAGGTGCGCAGATGAGGTTGCGCACAAAAACGTAACGAGGTCATTAATGTCATTCATCGATAGATTTTACTCCTCACATTTTTCTCATACTTATATATGCAAATCGATTCTTAAGGAGTAATCTCCAAAACAATTCTATTTCATAAAACTTATTTACTTAGATTAAGTGAGAAAAAACATCAGATTTTTAATAAAATTAATTTACTAAGATTGAGGGAAAAACAAACGATTTTTAATAATATTTCTTTATTAAGACTGTGTGAGAAAAAACATAATCAGAATCAAGCTCTTCAATTCCGCTCATCTCTGCATTACCGCCGGAGTAGTAATGAATAATCATGCACTATTACTAGGTCACATACGAACATGCATCCTTAATGTAAACGAAAGTTTTAAATGGAGTTTCTGAACGCATCATAAAATGAATTAAAGTGACATTTGGTTGACGATTTAGATTATCAACTATTCATAGTCAAAGCTCAATAAATGAAAAAAAATATCAACCAATATTAATTATCAATATTTGTTATTGTTTGTTTAAAAATATTTGATTTTTATTCTAGAATTAGCAGAGTGCTAAAAAAGTGTTCCGAGATTTTTTTGCAAACTGTACTTTTCAAGCGACATTTGACAGATGGAGGTCGTTGGCTTTATAGCACACATACCGATGGCCCCCCCGCGCGTGAAGACCACGTCTGCAGGGTTCTGCAGGATCAGCCGGTGCCTGCCAACAATACTCAGAGATACCTAGCACTCACACTAATTGACCGGCGTGTGAAGACCGGCGAGTGAAGACCAGCGACATGATACTGAATATCCGAGGCACAGATTTTTGAAACAGACACCCTCTCCTTTTTTCTGACTTTTAAAAGAGTAGAGCTCGGTAACGAATGAATTTTAAACAAAACGCCACTGTCTCTACTGCTACTCTATTTAATTTTCGAAGATACGAGTAAACTTCAGAATCACAAACAATTTTCATGAACGAATGGAATGAGTCATGTTTATGAGTTCTTTTTATCTCCACTTTTTGGATTAAGCTTTTTTTTTTACTTAGAAACAATATTACTTTACGACAAAATTTTGTTGACATTGAAAGAACTTTCTTTCACGGTGTTTTGAAGGAACATGCGAAATTTCGATCGAAATTTAGTTGAAATAGAGTAGGCCTCCCGTTACGTGTCTTAAAAACTTAAAGGCGCACTTAAAAACTTTACTTGCACTTTGATTGCCTTTGTATTCGTTCCGAAATCGCTGTTAGCGCTTTGAAACTGATCTGCTCTGCAGTTGTCATTGTGTCATTGTACTTTCACCTTTAAGGCGCACTGCATAAGGCTCAGATTATAATGAACCCAACCACTCGGCCTTTATCGAGGTCAATAACGTGGCCAGTGCTGGTTAAATTTAGTTCCAGTATTCTTGCGGTTTTGGTTCGAGAGAATGCGTGACAATACTTTTTAACGCGGGTGAAGTCGCGGACGACAGCTAGTATAATGATTTCAACATACAGACCTAGGCTCAAATCCCTGAGGGGATTATCTCGAATTGAAAACCCGTGCGAAACTCCGTTGTCTTAAAAAATAACGAGCCCAGAGGAAATTCTCGGATACGGTTTGATTTCCATTATAAAGAAAGATTATGTCACTAAAGATAGTGCCACTAAAGGAAGCACACTCACAACCGCAGACATGAAGCTTAAGTTCTACTACAACAAATATTTTGCAAAAGCTCTCAGCCTGCATCGAAATCGTCTTATCGTCTGCATTATGACGATCTTCTTTTGCGGAGAAATACTTTAGAGAAGTTCCGTTTATTTTTCTGTTTGCGGTTTCGCCTTCGATCGATAAAGTCGTTCTACGTAAGCCGCTTTTACTTCTGGGAATCTGCGGCACCGTGGAATTGCACGAGACCTCGTTCGGTGCTCACCGGCTTGGCATTGAAAACTGTTCGAATATGAAATAGTGGCGACGAGCGAATTCTAAAGGGCCCCACTGAATGGGTGGAAAGTGATTAGCAATCGTGAATGAAGTGATAAATGACTTTAAGGTCTCCAGATGACAAACAAGTCTTCTTGCTAACTCCGCTGGATGGAGGGAAACGTAAATTATACCCTTCGGATTGTTAATGGATTAGGTTACTGTTTGAATATGATGTTTGATGACTCTTTGGTAATGTGACGAGAATGTTCTAAGATTATTTATGTATGTGGATATTAATTTCGCTCTTTGGTTGGTTGCTTCAAAGTATTGGCTTTCTTTTTTTATTGTAGCCTATACTATTACGATGATTGGATTTCCTGACAAAATATTTTCCTTTGGTCTTTCTTGTTTCTTTCTTTATTGTCGCTAAGTTATTCTTTTATTTAGATAGTTGGTGACTTTGTAATTCTGATGACAATTTGGCGAAATATTTTGTTTTCCTTATTCGTTTTGCTGGCCCGAGACATAGCATACCATAAGTAGAGTGTATATCTTTATAAATTAGTAAATGCCAAGCAGTAAATTATTTCATAAATTTTATTTTTGTTTTAAAAGAAAACGAACGAAATATTTAGAGAAAGATATCAGACAATTCTAAGTAGTGCTTTAACGCTAAGAACACTTTAGTTTTGATCAAAATAGAAAGCTTATCCTCTCCTCAGACCTCTACCCAAACATTTCCTAGAATTGAGTCTTAGATGAAGGTTTTGAAGTTAAAGGGAGGATCGAGTCCTATTGCTTTAACCCTAAGAGTACCTTTCTCAAATCAGACAGCTACTAAGCTTTAAAATGAATTAACTACTGATAAATCAGCAAATATAATATTTGTTTTGTTTTTACTTCCATAAATATTTTTAAATATTTCTCAAATTAGCCTAGCCCTAAAATAAGGATCAAAAGCTTGTATCATGATAATATATACTAGGGTAACATAATCATAGATATACTGATACATATGTAAGTATATTTTTATTTAGAAATACGCAATAAACATCAATGACTTACAAATGCTCGTATTTATCACACAAACATTTGCCTTACCAGAATTCGAACACGGGACCTCTGAGTAAGCGACACCTTGAAAACCAGCGTACACATCACTCGAGCCACGGAGGTCGTCATGATCACTAGCATTAAAACAGACAGCGGGATCGCGATCATATACATTGGGTTTTGCAAATTCCCAATATTTGGGCACTATTGTGATAGATAAGTACAGGCTTAATTATAAGGATGCCGGAAATTATACGACGAGCAATGCAATGAATTGGATTTTATTCCAGACCACGAACAAAAGTGACATACTTTACAGTGTTGCTAGTACAAGAAAGTATTTCAGTTATACCAGTAACAAAACTAAACAAATAGGTTGCGTTTATTCTTTAACATATTGCCAGTAACTGAAGAAACTCAAGTAATAAGTAGGAGGACTTGCAAGAAACAAAGAACACAGTAGGAGTTCCGCTAATTATTAACTTTCTTTAGTATCATTTGGTTAATATTTCAAAAAAGAAAAATTATAGTTATAATTTTTATTAATTTAAAGCATGTAACTGCTTGATGTTTAAATCTAAAGAAAATATAACTAGAAAAAATTTCACGCGGATCAGGCATCAGACGGGACTCGAACCAGCACCCTTCGCAATCCGGGCGAATGCACTGACCAATTATGCTACCGCGGCCCTCACGAATCGCGTCGAAATTCTTCTAGCCATTCTTAAGTTGCATCAGCGCTATCTCTTCGCATTATAGGTACACCCACAATTTTCTTCTTTCAAATGTTTAATACTTGTAAAAGTATTCATTTGACATTTGACAGAGATAGCGCTGCCTTGCAGCTTAAGAATGGCAAGAAGAATTTCGATGCGGTCCGTGAGGGCCTCGGTGGCATAATTGGTCAGTGCATTCGCCCGGATTGTGAAGGGTTCGGTTCGAGTCCCGTCTGCTACCTGGTCCGCGTGGAATATTTTCTAGTTACATTTTGTTAGAAGAAAAATTATTACAATGCTACATTATCTTGGGAGTAACATAAGCTATGTTTTGACATGTTGATTTTATCTTTACACAACCGGGGTTGATTACTGGTTCTTCAATAAGAATGTTGGCCTTAATGTTTTCATCTTCAATGTTTGTGCAGGCACCGCGAAGTGACAGGGAACTGCTGGTTGAGCCACACTCAAAGGCTCGCATCCTCTGCGATCTGGTGAACGTCACGAACCTGCGCTGGTACAAGGATAACGAGGTAACATTCCATATTGTTTACTGTTCCAAAAATGGAGGTGAAACTGTAAGTTTTTACTTCAATTTAATTCAGTGTGAGCGTTCTAAAGACTTCGGAAGGCACGTTAAGCCATTTGGTCCCGGCTGCATCTGCAGTCGTTAGCACCCGCTAATCCGCACTGGCAATTCCAGCAATTCCATCCATAGGGAAGGCCTTTGCCGCAGCAGTGGGGGCATTAATTGGCTGATGATGTTCTAAAGACGAACCGGTTTCAAGGACCGTTTTGTGTTCCGCGACGATAGAACCGTTTTACGTTTCGGATCAAAACAGTCTTCGTCGAACAACTAGTCCTCGGATTGTCAGCACGCCAATATGTACTTTATTATGAAGTAAATACAGTCTATAATAGAACGCAATGATATGAGGCCGTTTCGTTCTATGATAATTAAGCTTTGATTTTACAATAATATAATCTATGTTAGTGAACATTTAAAGTCTATTATCAGATAACACTACCTACATTTATTTCGATGTTTCGTCGTCTCGTTCGCAGCAACGAAAGGAACGTGAACAAGATTTCATTTAGTTCAGTTTCGTTGCGTTACATTCGTTCGACCGTCCCGCAACCAAGACCAGTTGCGAAGGAGAACCGCTGCGAGGACTAGTTTTCGTTTAAGAGAAAACGGTTTCGTTTCGTCGGCAGAAAATTTGAGAACGACCCACCGCTATTACAAATAGAATTAAATCAAAGAACAACTGTTCCAATGTCAAATAGAGATAGCGTTTATATTACTTTTACGTAAACTACTTCCCCCTTGTCAATAAAAGAAGAATAAGCTTGGATTAGTTATTCTATGTTTTGTCTCTGTTTAAATTGAATGCCATTTGGGTGAATGACTGAAACACAGAGTAACTAGTACGGGCTAATTCCTCGTTTATAAATAAGGGTACTTATTTTTAAATTAAAAAATAAAAAGATGGCGTGATTCAATAGTCTATGCCTGCGGAGTTTTTGGCGGGATTTCATCGAGTGCGGTTGGCGTCTTATTTTAATTATTCTTAAATTCTTTCATAGTGGATATTGTGAAATAAAATTGGTGTGATTTTGTGTTACAACTGTCTGCGTAACTGAAGAATTAGTAGAACCGTCAAAATATACGCTATTCCGGTCTAGTGGACGTGAGAATTTTATTGTAGTATTGACTACCTCACAGAAGCTTATCGAAAAAGCCAGCTCGATACATTTCGTGCCAAACACTTCAAGAAACATGAGAATGCGTCACACCGACATTCTAATGTAAAAAGGAAAACAGAATAATTTAACTTAGACTAGGCTGTATGGGCATTGCTCCCCTTGCTTTCCCTAAAAAGGGAGAATTTAACAAAAAAAAAGTCTATGGCTGCCATCTAGTATACAAGATGTAATCTGATTCTAAACACTTTTAAAGAAGTTATTTTTCCACTTGTTGTATCTGTTTATAATAATGCTGGGAGAAATAAAAACAGTACTTGCTGAGTTTCTTGCTTGTTCTTCTTAGTACAAGGTCTTCCTTTAACATGTGCTTGTAAAAGCCTAAACTTAAAACGATATTGAATTTTGAATTGTAAATACATAGTACACATGATTCTGATTCACACGTGAGTAGAGACAGAATCTGAAAAAAAAATATGATTGTGATCCTGGAAAATGGCGAAAGTACGATGTATAATGGAAGGGTTTTTAAAAGATCCTCATTACATTATAGCCATGGTTTAAGCAAATTAAAAAATGTAAAATAGCTGTGCAAGTCAAACCTTGAATTTTTTAGAGTCGTGGAAATAACTGACTGGATTGTATGTACATGGCTATTGCTGTAATCTAGGATAAAAATAATATATAAAAATATCTATTTAATATATAAAAATCAATGGCTGTTCGTTAGTCTCGCAAAAACTCGAGAACGGCTGAACACATTTATCTTATCTTGGTCTTGAAATGTTCGTGGAGGTCTAGGAAAGGTTAAAAACGTGAGAAAAAAGCGAATTCTACATTACAGCTCTACACCGAATCGAAGCGAGGGAGGGCCACTAATTTATAATAAATAATACATTTACAACACTTATTGTATAGTAAATCTAGATAAAATTGAAAGCTGTCCAAAACAGCAGGTGCTGTCAATAATTTTATTCAATTCCAAATTTCCAACAAAGCTCTTGATTTATTAAAATTATTTGATTATCACAATAACAGACAAGAAAACAAAAAATACAAAAGCGTAATGAATTTATTTTACAGACATTTCGTTTCACAGTAATATTAAAAAAAACGATCATACAGATACGATCTTATATGAAGCTTCAAAGATGAGGTAAGCTTTAATAAAAAACTGAACGCTACTACAACCAAATGAAATGAAATGAAATGAAATGAAATGTCATTTATTCAGTCTAGGCTGTTACAAGCACTTGTGAAGGTCAAGAAGCTACGCCATCGGTTCGCAAAACTACGGCGGGAGACCTTGTACTGAGAAGAACCGGCAAGAAACTCAGCAAGAGCTGTTTTTTTCTCCCTGTATTGTTATATACAGTGTCGTCAAGTTGAAAAATGACTTCAGAAATACGTCTGAAGTCACTTTCTATTACATCATTAAGAATATAAATATATAGTTACAATTAATTTTATAGTTAACATTATATTTAGTATATAGGAAACGGCATTAGATAGGTACAATATTACTGTTATGAAAAATGACTAATACCCGTTTAATATCAAATTATAATAAACACTATGTCCATGCATTACGATCATTTAGATAATCATCAACTTTATAATAGCCCTTATTCATAAGATTATTTTTGATCTGAGATTTAAATTTTGTCAGTGGAAGCTGAATCAGATCTAGGGGAACTTTATTAAACAATGCAATACTACAACCCAGAAATGAACCTCTTGATTTTTGGAGTCTGAAACATGGAACGGCAAGCTTGTTCTTAAATCTCTCAAACGTGTGTCATTTCATTTAGTCTCGATTGAAAGAAACATTTGGTAGCAATAGTGCGATCAACGATTTTTTTAACGTTGCAGTAGCTGAATAAAACATTCACATTAAATCCTTACTGGGTGCAAATTCGCTACGTGATCAGCGGGAATGCTTCAACTAAGTCGTGCCGTGCCAAATTTTTCACGAGTTTTCCACTGAAACAACTGAAGTTTATTTGCAAATGTCTGTTATATCAGAGCTCGAACTTTTCCACTGGCCTCTAGCCAGCTAAGGAGGGATTCAGATTTTTTTTCCAAGCAGCAACACTTGAGATTTCTTGCGCTAGCTTTTTATTTTGGCTGAGCACAGCAGGCAAAATTCAGTTGCCAAAAAACTGTATTTTTATTGAATTCCAAATCAATTCTGATATCTATCTTCGTTCTTACGAATAAACCGTATTATAAGTAAGATAATTTTGCAAACAAAAATGCTTGGATTTCCAAACGTTCCAACGGGTTTCTAAATCAATACCACAAGGTAGCTTCCTTTGTTATATTGTATTCCTAATTTCCCTGTTACAATTGATAGTCCTTGCACAATATTTGCTGATGATGTTTCTGTATTGATCCCCTGTGAAACTAATACCGATTTATGCATTAAATTAAATAAAATTGTTGTTATATATAAAACAGTCGCTAACTGACCACGCTCAGTGGGAAGACCCGCTACAAGGTGGACCGACGACCTGGTGAAGGTCGTGGGAAAACACTGGATGCGGGCAGCGCAGGACCGATCGTTGTGGACATCCTTGTGGGAGGCCTATGTCCAGCAGTGGGCGTCGTACGGCTGATATGATGATGATGATCATGATGAACTGACCACAATCTTCGAATAAATTTTGCAAAACCTAAACTCATACAGTTCGGGCCATATCAAAGAGAAAAATTGCAAATACATTACAATTTCCAAAATACTGAGTTGGAGTGGGTCAATACGTATCCGCTACTAGGGATTGATATAGATTCTAACTTAAATTGGAAAAACTATTTTGGAAAGATTGCTGAAAAAATATCACGATATTGACGCATATGTAATGCGTTATACGAGCTAAAGAAGTCCACCGATAAACATACTGCCCTAGAGACATATTACGCGTATGCTCATACCAGGCTTCAGTATGCCATCGTCCTCTGGGGAAATAATATGGACACTTTACACTTATTTAAACTCCAAAAGCGATGTCTCCGCATAATCGGTAATATAGATGCAAGGAAAAGTTGTAGATCATTCTTCATAAGAGAAAGAATTCTTATTGTGACTTAAATCTATTTACTGGAAATAGTTCTCTTTAAAAAGCACACCTCCCTTTACCCCTGCTGGGACGACCCCAAAACTTGAGACCACATACAAGATTGCACCCTTATTGCAAAATTAAATTTTATTCATTCTGGTAGGCTAATTGGTCCTTCCTGCTTCGGAAAGCACTTTTAGTCAATGGTCCCGGCTGCTTCTGCAGCCGTCAGCACCCACCAATCCACACTGAACCCACACGATGGAAGTTTAATCTCTTTAATCCGTCCTTAAGCAATAGGGCCTTAACAATAGGCACATTAATAGGCTGATGACGATTCTATATTATTTACTTTACAAAACATAATTAATCAAATTGAAGAAATATTTCAACTACGTTATAAAGTTTATAATTTAGAAATAAAACTTTCAAGTCCCACAGTGGACTCAATGCCGCATCCGCGAATATAAATAGACAATTGTATTCTTTATTAAGTGGGAATAAGAGCAATTTTCGCAATGTGATTTTGTAGTCTCACTTTAACTCCACAATCAGTACTGATATCCCAAGCTTCAATATAAATAAAGGAAGCAGCCGTTTGCTTTGAGTTGAACAGAGAACACCCTTTTGTTCCGGCGTTGTTTGTTTAGACCTTGTGGAAATAAATTATCATTTCAAATTGTAATTACTTAGTTTAGTTTAACTTCGGACCCTGATTCAAAAATCATTTGGTGAATGAAACCGAAGGATAATATGACAAGCTTTGTAACGTTTGATAAAAGTAATTATTTGTAATAAGAAACAATAAGTGTAGGTGTGGTATGATGTGGTAAGGGTTTGAATGGAGAAATAAAAAAATAAGGTTCCTAAATAGAAAATGTATATTTACGAAGTTAATCATTTAATTAATATTGGCAGCATCAGATCACGGCCCGATCTCGCTATTCCATCAATAGGGAAGCATTGTTCCCCAACAGTGGGGACATAATAGGCTGATCATAAATAATCTGTATTAAATCTAAAGAAAAGTTTACTAGAAAAAATCCACGCGGACCAGGCAGCGGACGGAACTCGAACCCGCACCCTTCGCAATCCGGGCGAATGCACTGACCATTATGCTACCACGGCCCTATTGGCCGCGTCGAAATTTTCCTAGCCTTAAGCTGCAAGGCAGCGCCATCTCTTCGCATTGTAGGTAACCCACAATGTCAAATGAATACTTTTTCAAAGGGTGCGGGTTCGAGTCCCGTCCGCTGCCTGATCCGCGTGGATTTTTTCTAGTAAACTTTTCTTTAGATTTAAACATCTAGCAGTTACATGCTTAAAAATAAATAAAAACATAACTATAATCTGTATTGTTTTTTTTTGTAAATTTAAAATCAGAAGTTCTGTAATTATTGTCAAATACATTAATATAAAAATGTTCAAATAAAGAACACAATTAGACAAAAAGATCACGACCTATCAATTACTAGAAAAGTCAGATAGTTTTTAAGTTAAATGTATGGGCGATGCTAGTTGTCTGTTAATCGCGATTTAAAAATGAGGAATCCTTAAACTTTGCAGTCTCAACTAATATCGCGTAATCTTTGTCAACTCGGAAATTGGCAGAAACATCGCGTGATTCCATTACGCAGTCATGATCACAAAGAATAGGGTATTTGACAGTATTAAAAATAAAGTGCCAATTGTAAGCATCTGTGTTTAGAATGAATATTGGCAGGGGTTTATACTATCTTTACAAAAAAATATTCATAATTTTACTAAAAACCCACGAGAAAGATGATAGTTTTCTAATTTGTTGATAGTAATCTATTGTCACGTGACCCAAAACGCTTGGGATCGGCGGAGCCTAAAATGACGTCACACGCAAGTAAACTTCCGGTTAAAGTGACATTACATTGTATCGTTTGACGTTTTAATAACAGTCGTGTGGCGTCACACACTAGTAAGATGCCATATTGTCCAGAGAAACGTTTTCGCGGCAACTTGAAAATGGAGTTTTTGATTTGGTTATTTTTACTGAAATACACAACAGAATGATGAATATCAACTTTTTACGGACTCCATAAACATTAGTCAATAACGTGAAATCGTTTTCTATAACTTGTCAAATACCCTATACCGGAAAATCTGTTATAGCACTGAATTTTATTAAATAAGCGATTTTGTCCACAGCTCATGTCCCTGTCGTCGTCCCCTTCTTCCGCGGAGGGAGTGTGGCGGGAAGGCGGAGAGGCGGTGGTGGGGCGAGCCACCCGCGCGGACGGCGGCGCGTGGCGCTGCGCCGGCGTCGACAGGGCTGGCAAGACTGTGTCGGGGAAGCCTACGCAGCTGCTCATATACGGTAAAGCTATCATTATCACTAATTATACTTTACTCGAACTATCTTATCTGTTTTATAATGCAATGAGGGTTTTTTGGAATGACAGGCACCAGGTGGCAGTACTGACACGAAAGGTCTAATCATCCGTCAAATCGCATATGATCTCATAGTCTATGAATCTGGTCTATGGAGTTGGCGCTAAAAAATTCATACAAAAGACCTCACGTAACAGTGGCGCCAACTGGTGACGTAAATTTTCATAAACACCCTCGTTCAACTAAGACTAGGATCGTTTGGGCGCCATTTTGTGATGTCAAAGCTGTCAATTGAAACAAAATAGGTAGAGTGAGCAATAAAAGTTTTTCTTCGATAAAACTTATTTACTAAGATTAAGTGAGAAAAAATATCAGGTTTTTTTTAAATAACACTTATTTACTAAGATTAAGTGAGAAAAAAACATCAGATTTTATTAATAAAATTTATTTACTAACATTGAGAAAAAAAAAACACCGATTTTTAATAACTTTTATGACTGCGTGGGTAAAAATATTAATCGGAATCTAGCTCTTCAATTCCGCTCAGCTCTGCATAACTACCGGAGTTGTCATCGTCGTCATGTTTGTTTACAAATGTTTGTTTTTTTTTTATTCTAGAATTAGCTGAGTGCTAAAAAGAGTTCCAAGATTTTTTGCAAACCGTACTTTTCAAGCGTCATTTGACAGATGGAGGTCATTGGCTTTCCTATTTTTATTTGAATCGCATTTTACTCTACCGAAATCTGGGCTAGAAAGATAACTCACGAGCATAGACCACAGAAATGCGTATGTTGCGTTGGGCCCATGGAGTGACCCTTAGAGATAAGGTCCGAAACGAATATATTCAGGGAACTTTCAAAATTGCTCCGATTACTGACGAGATAGTCGAGGTCAGGCTTTCGGATGGATGTGCAATTTGTTATTGTGCCTTTGCGTCCTCCAGAAGGCACGTGAAGTGATGAGTCTTGGCTGCTTTTACAGTCGTCAACTTCCGTTAATCCTAACTGAGCCCATGTAGTGGGTAAATGTCTAAGTCATAAGTGACTCCGTCCTTTGTGTCCTCCGGACAAAATCTCACGAGCTTAGTAGGTACATAATTTAAATACAAAAAAAACGACGGGTTGCACCGGGAGTGCCATCAGAAGTGAAAACTTGAATATTAACGTTGTGCATTTTTGATATTTTGGAATGGTTAGAGAATAATTTTGCACGAATTGCTTTAATTATCAGTATAAAAGTACTACCATGTATGTGGTAGAATACAATATTTATTTATTGTGCTATCGTAGACAAACATGACAATTTATATTACATTAAAAAAGTTTATCTCTCAGAAAAATCAACTTACATGAATCACGTTTAAGCGCATCTAGCGACATCTATTGTAAAAAATGCATTTTCTTCGCAATAAAGCTGCCACGTGGATGTCCTAGATAGAAACATAATATTATAATACGATAAAATAAAATATTACTATGTTTCGTCCAATATATTGAGAGTCAACAACCTTTCAATTTTATTGTGTGTCATGATGCGATCAGCCCACGTGTTTAGCCTGACGCGAGTATAACATTTTTTACCCATAAGAAAACGTGTGCAACGCCGCTAAAGAAGTTTTCACTTCAAAAATCTCCAATTAACATGCAAATAGTGATTGTGATACCAGGCTTTACAAAAGTCCAAACATCTCAACATCCGTCCATACGAAGACTTTGATATTGATATAAATAATGATTTTATTTATCTGTCTACAAATCTATCAATGTCTGTTTTATTTCGTTGAGCGACTACTACTCAGCTATTGAATATGTTATCTAGTTATGTCTGACACAAATAAAATTATAGGTATGTATTTATACTGTATGCCACAGCAATCAAAATGCAGGTGAACAATTAATGTGTACTTCACATATACATACTTTACACATAGGTTTAATAATAGGTCGTTTCATGAATCATCTCTGATGTCATTTTTCAACTTGACGACTCTGTTAATATTAATACAGGTAGAAGAAACTGCCCTTACTGGGCTTCTTGACAGTTTCTTCTTCTTCTTCTTCTTCTTGCTACGGGCGTGTCCGCAACTCGACATCCTTATGGCGCCTGTTTTGCGTGAGGAGGGTGTATGCCCGGAGTCACTCCAGCCAGCCCCGCTCCGCCAGGAACGCCCCCAGGGCCTTCACATTGGTGACTGCCTCTTGAAGGTTTCCTGGTGAGCCAAGGTATTTCGCCCGGTATTCGGCCACTCCGTTGCATTCCAGCAGAAAGGGAGTAGCTGTTTCTTCTGCCTCCATGCATCCTCTGCATAGGGGGCTGTCCGTGACACCTAAGTTGAAAAGATGTCTGTTAAAATGTGCATGTCCAGTGATAGCACCCGTTACCATGCGAAATGTAGGTTTGCTTAGCTGTAGGAGAGTTTTGGAGAAGGCAGCGTTCACCCGTGGCAAAGCGAGCTTGGTCTGCCTGCACATCTCCAGGTCGAGCCAGTATTGCTGGTGTATTCTTCACAGTTTTTCTCAGTAGAAAGTCTCCGACTGTTCATTTACAAACTAATGACGAAGCTTCTTGGTATGCGTGTGCTTGTAATTCTGAGTTTATCTGTTTTGTTTAGAGCCCGTTCGATCGGTGTACCTAGCGGTGGACGGACGAAGACTAGATGCCGGCAACACCTGGGTGCCGGTGAGGGACAAGACCGTCCTTGAGGTGCGATGTGTAGCCGAAGGTGAGTTTGTGACCTAATTTCATTGAGCCAAAGGGCTAGATGAAGTAATGAGGTATCAGCAAATACCATCTTCTTGCTCCCCTGGAAGGATGCGTAACGCGTAACATTTCCCAGTCACAAAAAAGGTGAGTTTGTGACACCTTATCATAGGTTTGTGGTGAGAGTGCCAGTGTCTGCTTATTGAGACAGTTGTGGACGGCACGGAGTGGATGCCGGTGTGGGACAAGACTGTCTTTGAAGAGCGGTATGTACCCGAAGGTGAGTCATCATCATCAGCCTATCATCATCCTCACTGCTGGGGCACAGGCCTTGCCAATGTGTGGAATAGGGAGCACCGGGATCTATAATGTGAGTATTATTGGTGATTGCTAACGAATTAAGATGCACCTGGGACCGACGGCTTAACGTGCCTTTTGACGCACGGAGGGGAGAGAGATAGTAAATTTTTGGCCACCCATCTGATGACCGACTACTGCGAAAGTTGATGAGTTGCGCCATCGAGCTCCTCAGAGGCGAGTGAGAACTGCTATTAATTTCAGGAGTTCCATTGTCCGCTAACATAGACGGCTGTGAATGGTAAGATGTTAGTGATGGCGCAGTCGCAGAAGGTGAGTCTGACACTGTCACGAATGTGACGTCATTAACTCGTCGGTGCTCGTCGAATGTTTCAAGTACTCGATGGCGCAGTAGTTTAGCGCATTTGGCCTGCGATCGAGAAAATTAAGCTACTTTCGTAGTAGTCGGTCATTGGATGGGTGACCAAAACCTTGTTATCGAGATTTATATCAAGCTGCTACGTGCTTTGGATGGTACGTTGATTCCGGCTGCATCTGCAGTCGTTGGCATCCACAAATCGCCACTGGGCCCGCGTGGTGGGTCACGGCCCAGTACTATTCCAACCACAGAGAAGGTCTGTTTCCCAGCAGTGGGGACATTACTAGGCTGTTATGATGTTAATTAAGTACGAATAGAAAGATTCGGAGTAAGCATTAATCTGTAAGTCTGCTTCATTAAACGTCGATTTCTCAATCTGCGTTTTAAAGAAATATGGCTGGGCAATTTATTATGGAGAGTCTCAACGCCAAGAAGAAAACTTTTGCCGAGTTGACCGTTCGCGAGTCTATAGCGTAATCTGAGGCCTGTCGTGCAACTTTTCCGTTGTTTGATAGATGGAAGTGATGGAAGTTAATTAAAATCTTTCGTTTGGTCTCAAGGATTTGTTTGCACAATTTGTCAAACACAGATGCAACAGCAATTAAAAATAAAAATCGTAAAAGAAAATTTTCAATAACCGAGATTAAGAAATCAGTTAACCTCAACTATGTTATTAAATCATTTTTTATTGATGTCTCAGAATTTTTACTGCAATTCAGAATATATAAACTACAATCATCAAATCCCAATCTTAACCTATAAGAAACTAAACGACTCAAATATTTGCTTTTGATGTTAAAAATTTAAAAGCTCCAGTTGATTTGGGAAATGTCGAGAGTTCGCGAAATGTTGGAGGACGGCGAATTCCATTCCGAAGTAGGCACGGATCGGTAGATTATTGCTGTGATGGCTCCCTGGATTCTTTGCGAAGAAAGGATTTCTGTGTATTAGATACTTACAACGATGAACGTTCATATAAATACTGGTCTATATCTTACTTTCTATTAGGTAATCTGCCAAAAGTGTCTTTCGTTTTGTCACCTTACATTTACGCAATTAAATCCGAAGTCAATAAACGACAATTATTATTTATATCAAATTTATATAACTCTTTAGAATAAACCATTATTTATTTTCTATAACAAGTAAAAGTATTATTTTAAACTGCTACAATAAGGGCATGAAAAGTCCATAAAAAATAAAATGTAATAATTTTTACGTCAAGTACTCCGCGATTATGACAGTGTACTCATATTCGAAGCAGTGTCGAAATATGAGGGGAAAAATTGGTGAGGTTTTACGAAACTACGATTAAGTGTAACTTTTAATATCATTACTAAGAAAAGTCCTTCCTCGGTTGGGATTCGAACCCGGACCGGCCGCGTAGCAGGTGAGCAGTGGTAGAACCACTGAACCACCCCTGCTTGTTGATAAAGACTCATTGTTTTATTTATTTAGGTATGCTAACTATCACACATATTCATTCATACATTAATGATTGAATAGGGTATACTATACAATTTTCTTATATGCAGATCAATTATATTATAAGCATACATAACAATCACAATAAAGTTAATAAACAACTTTATACAATTTAACAAATCAATCTGATCAATAATCTATATATATATATTATGCATAGACTAATTTATTCAAATACATACACAAAAGAAGAACAGATTATTTCTTTATTTATTTGTTGTAATTAAGTGTCGCCGCACACGGGCCACACGCCACAGCCACAAACGCCGCCACGAGAAGCTAGAAGCGGCTACTAAAGTGGCTGAAGCGCGCGACAGCGGCCGACTAAGGTAAGTAGAGGGGTGCGGCGAAATCTGCGAGTGACGTGTGGCGGCGTTTTGTATCGGCGCATTAAGTGGCCGGTGCGGGTCACAAGAAGCGAGCAACGACGATTTGTAGCGTGTGGCGGCCACCGGCGTACCGTGTGTGGCGAGTCCATATAAAATGTACGAAAACTGCAAGAACTATGCCGGTGGCGGCGTTTTGTGGTTTTGGCCGGTGGCCCGTGTGCGGCGACACGTACAATCGAAAATGTGATGCGACATGCTTAAGATGAAAGAAAAAATTTGTAGAGATGTAATAAAATTTTTACTTATAAAAATTTACTTTAAAAACAAGGTACAGGGTAGCATACCTGTTAGTAACTCTAATGTTTTTGTTTTCTTATTTTCGTAGGTGGAGTGCCTCAACCGGAGTTATCGTGGCGGTTGCTGGCGTTAGAGCCATCGCTAGACCATCGGCCTTACCTCCGGATACATAGCACCAATTATTCCATAGGTAAGACGAACACGCGAGACGAACTTTTTTATGCTGCAAACCATACAGAGCAGGAGTAGGTGCGGTGCTCATATCTATGTCGCTTCTTTTGCAATAAAATCTTTTGTAAGCAGAAGAAAGTCTTACGTTGTGAAGTGGAGGGGGTCGTTCTATATAAAAGCGAGAGCGCGCGCAGTTCAGTGTCACTTACTGTTGAGAGCTCATGCTAAGCTGAAACTCTTTCTACCCGTTTTTTTGGTCGGATTGCCTTATTTTCCTAAAAAGTAATGCTGTAACGTTCGCAATTTAGTTAAATATCTTAAAGAAAAATAATTGTATAATAGTGAAATAAAGCGTGGTGTCTGTAACTGTTGCTTTTTTAATAGTTTCCTCTTAAGATCGCTAAGACTATATAATGATACAAACCTTTAGCATGTTTATCACTTAGCTAAATCTTTATGCAGTTTTGCCATCGCCTGACTTAGGTTAGATTGGGTTCAATGCCGCCTTTAATGGTGCTTAATGCGGCTCTTTTGTAACACGAGATCAGAATACTTTTCTTTTATGATTTTCTGTATTCTCTGTCTTTTGTGTTCTAAAAGATTTTTTGTGTTCTTGTGTTTTAGAATAAAAATTCTAGTAAAAATGTTGGAGGTTTATTTACCTTAAATTGTTACTAGCTTTTTTGTGTCTGTTAGGTTTTTAGGGATCTGTAGTTCTGTGTTGTCCTTAGATTAAAAGAAAAAGCTACGCTACGGTACGCTCATACTAGCATCTAACAAAATATGCGCCGACTCAACTACATAAGCAACTCTCGCACACGCACACGCCTGTATATAAACTTCAATCGAGCGAGCGAGACAGAACTGTTCGCTTCAACGCAGTGCGAGCGAAACAACGAGTCCGCTTCCGAGTCCGTACGGCTGAGCTGTATTGTTGTCCTTTTCTTGATAACAAAATGGCGATTACGTAAATAATATTCACAATAAGCCGTGATTTTTGAGAAAAAAAAAGGTTTTACAGTTTTTTATCTTTATTTATTTATTTGACATACCATCGACAATTTCACAAATTTCAATAAAGATTTAAGATGTAGGTAGTACTCAACCGTGTGAATTGCCATTGTAGGCATGTACAACGTTGACTATATGTAGGTAGGTACTTATACTTTTAACAGAAAAAAAAAATTGTTCGGTTTGAACGTTACCATACAGATGATTTTTGAGGGCTTTGAGTGGAGCATGAAAGATGTCAACATCATGGCATATCTCGTTGTATGCATCTTTAATTCTGTTAAACGGTGAAGCTAATTTTGTTTTAAAGGGACAGTTAACGAATGATTTGATGGTTTGGCGGGGGATTTTTCTGGGAACCTTTAACTTAATTTCCGCAAGAAGGTCGTGCGCAACAATATTGCCGTGAAGTAATTTGTGCAGAAATAAAATGTCCGCGGTTTTTCTACGCTTTTCTAAGGTATGAAGTTTAAAGTATTTGAGACGAGTGTGGTAATCCGCACGGTAAGGATACTTTCTGTCTTTGAAAGCAAGAAACCTCGTAAAATTACGTTGAATTCGCTCGATTCTATCAATGTGGACTCGATTTTGCGGATTCCAGACTTGGGAACTGTATTCTAGTATACTTTGCACCAATCTCTTATACAAGCATAAAATTGTTGCAATGTTATGGAAATTCTTACATAGGCGTTTCAAGAAACCCAACATTTTTAATGACTTTGCAACAATAACGTTAATATGTTCAATGAATCCGAGCTTTTTGTCAATTACAATGCCCAGATCACGAGTCGAACCCACTTCGATTAGCTGTGCAGAATTGATAGTATAGATAGAAGCGTTCATGTTTTTTGTCTTTCTGGTAAATTTTATAAATAGACATTTACTTGCGTTAAGAGTCATACCGTTGTCTACGCACCATTCCGATATCGAGTCTAGATCTTTTTGGAGTAAAAGTATATCTTCCTCGTTTTTAATCGGTCGATACAACTTTAAATCGTCGGCAAAAAGAGAGCAGCTGCTATACCGGATTTTATTAGGGATATCGTTAATGAAAACGAGAAACAGAATTGGTCCCAAGATCGAACCCTGAGGGACTCCCGACGAGGTGAGGAATGGTTTCGATTTGTAGCCGTTCACAACTACCCTTAACAACCGATGCTCTAAGTAAGAACGGAGCCATAGCAGTAGGGGTCCATGAATTCCGTAACGCTTCAGTTTCATAAACAGTATATTGTGGTCAACCTTGTCAAACGCACTGCTAAAATCTGTATAAATGAAATCTATTTCTACGCCAGAGTCGATTGATTTCTTTAGTTCATTGACATACGAAACAAGATTGGTTGCTGTTGATTTATTACGAATGAAAAGTGTTGCCGAGGCATTTGTTATTTGATTTTGAACTGTTTAATCTTTGTTATTTGATGAAGATATAACAATTTATATCTTCATAACGCAGAATAAACGCAATATTGTTAGTACATGCAGCGTGTTTCAATGTCCAATTGTGACTAAAGCGAATTGTGGTCGTGTATCCTTTTTGTTTTATTACAAGGTGTTGTCCCTTTAAATTTTTTATAACTACTTAGTAACAGTTAGACCCAGACATTGCCAAGTCGGAGGATTACTAAAGGATAGATTCATTATTATAGGTGTAGGTAGTTGCTAGGAGAACAAGAAGCACAAATAATTGCTTCCCAATCGGTCCATTACTTTAGAAGCTACAATGCCATAGACAGATACACAGACATATCAAACTTATAACACCACTATTATGCGTCGAGGATTATAAATAGTTAATAACGTAATTTCTCCCTCTAACGCTGAAGGTATGGCTCTATTGCATGCGCAAGTGACGGTGGCGCGGGATTGCCAAAACGCCATGTCCGTTTATCTAATAAAGGCCGCAGGCCGCAAACAATCGGTTGACCTCGGACAATACCTATATTAAAAATAGTTGCAAATAAAAGACAGCGGGAAAATTTTGGTCCACTTATCGAAAAGAAGTGGCGATAAACGAAACTTATTCCAACCGATTGATAAAATTATTTACATTTTGTTTATGCAATTTTTATTCCTGTAACCTATGGGAATGCTGAGTAAATGAGGTTATTGTATCAGCAAAGTTCGTAAGTTTCTTATAGCCTCACGGGTGTTAGTCGGTAAGTATCCGACCCTGCAGTCGGTTGTAGGATACAATAATAATAATAATAAAAAGTTTTCAGCGCGCGTGCGAATAAGATGTTTTTTGAGTTCGTGCGGTTTGTATTTTTTTATATATTATATCTCAATATTCCCGGGGGTCACAAAAATGCGTTCAAATCTACAGGTCTGAAGCTGTGCAATAGGATAGAATTCATTTCTGTCCGATGTGGGGTATTGTTCCATATTAAAGTTTGTAATGCCTTTCTTTTTTTCCTTCCCCTCTGTTGCGCAGAGGGCGTGTCCCTCTCGCACGCGGTGGTGACGGCGGCGCGGGAGTTACACAACGCCACGCTGCAGTGCCACGCGCGACAGCGGACCCCCGCCGCGCCCCCGCCCGGCCCCGCGCCCGCCGCCGCTACTGCCGCGTCGCCCGCTGACACTCACACCGCGAAGCTGGAGATACACGTCACTTGTGAGTAGGAATGGAAGATTGCTTGATTATTTTTTGAAGTGAAACTTCTTTATCGGCGTTGGAAGAAAATTTACCGTCACATTTTTTCGGACGTTACGCGTCACATTTTTCCGTTACGCGCCATCTTTTTTACTGTAACCGCTTTTACACTATTTTTAAAATTTTGTTTAAATTAAAATGTCGGTAAGTACTTTCCTTTAGATTAAAATCTTAATAATTACTTAAAACTTTCACATTATGGTTCCATATCTCACTGACCCTGTAGCCAAATTTTTGCAATCTTTTAGTGGGCCCTAAAACTTTGCAGGTTCCTCGACCAAAACCTTCAAAATCTTGTCGTGCGACCGATTCAGCTCCTGTATTGTGTATCTAGTACCTAAATCTCTTCTTTAATCAAATCAGTAAAGTGTGTCACTCAGATTCGGATGCGGAACGACTCGCCGTCGTTCTTATCTAATCGAATCCAGTGAATTTTACATTCTTAATACAAATCACGTTATCGTTTGAATATTTATTGTTTGATGCAGACCCGTCATTCGTAAAATAGACAAAATGACACATTCGTTACACGAGCCAACCTATTCATTTGTATCATCCTGGGTATCACAGAGATCTTATCTTGAAACTGAGTTTTTAAGCTTTAATATTGATTGTTCGATACAGACCCTCCATCTTTCTTAAAATCGGCTACAGTACTGAAGCGGTCTATCCTGAAGGGATAGGCCTGGGGGGTATGCTCAGATAGTAAACAACTAATTAGATTTGTATCTTTTATTTATTAGAATTCAAGGCGAATACAATAATTATAGCTTAATCGATAACCGTATGTTTTGGTGCCTGAATTCTATCTCCTAGAATCTTCTACCAAAAGACAGAAGATTCCCAATTTCAAATCTTTAAAATAATGACATTAACTTTTAAATACAACTGCCAGTCGTAGGATTTACATGAACAAACAGTTTACACAAGCAAAGAAGCTGTAACGCAACGGGCGTTACGGTACATTGAAATCAAACTATTGTTATACTAGTCAACCACGATAATCGGGATACCACAGGGATCTAAAGTCGGGCCCTGACTCTTTCTAACATCCAGTGCTTGTGTCAGACCCGCCATCGTTCGTGATATCGCGCTGGCCCGGGTTCGGCGTGTCGCTGTCGGCGGGCGGCGCGGCCGCGCTGCGCTGCGACGTGGACGCCAACCCACCCGCGCGCGCCTGGTGGCTGCGGGACGACACCGACCCCACTAGGTATATACCCGCCTGGTGGCTGCGGGACGACACCGACCCCACTAGGTATATACCCGCCCGCGCGCGCCTGGTGGCTGCGGGACGACACCGACCCCACTAGGTATATACCCGCCTGGTGGCTGCGGGACGACACCGACCCCACTAGGTATATACCCGCCCGCGCGCGCCTGGTGGCTGCGGGACGACACCGACCCCACTAGGTATATACCCGCCTGGTGGCTGCGGGACGACACCGACCCCACTAGGTATATCCCCGCCCGCGCGCGCCTGGTGGCTGCGGGACGACACCGACCCCACTAGGTATATACCCGCCCGCGCGCGCCTGGTGGCTGCGGGACGACACCGACCCCACTAGGTATATACCCGCCTGGTGGCTGCGGGACGACACCGACCCCACTAGGTATATACCCGCCCGCGCGCGCCTGGTGGCTGCGGGACGACACCGACCCCACTAGGTATATACCCGCCCGCGCGCGCCTGGTGGCTGCGGGACGACACCGACCCCACTAGGTATATACCCGCCTGGTGGCTGCGGGACGACACCGACCCCACTAGGTATATACCCGCCCGCGCGCGCCTGGTGGCTGCGGGACGACACCGACCCCACTAGGTATATACCCGCCCGCGCGCGCCTGGTGGCTGCGGGACGACACCGACCCCACTAGGTATATACCCGCCTGGTGGCTGCGGGACGACACCGACCCCACTAGGTATATACCCGCCCGCGCGCGCCTGGTGGCTGCGGGACGACACCGACCCCACTAGGTATATACCCGCCTGGTGGCTGCGGGACGACACCGACCCCACTAGGTATATACCCGCCCGCGCGCGCCTGGTGGCTGCGGGACGACACCGACCCCACTAGGTATATACCCGCCCGCGCGCGCCTGGTGGCTGCGGGACGACACCGACCCCACTAGGTATATACCCGCCTGGTGGCTGCGGGACGACACCGACCCCACTAGGTATATACCCGCCCGCGCGCGCCTGGTGGCTGCGGGACGACACCGACCCCACTAGGTATATACCCGCCCGCGCGCGCCTGGTGGCTGCGGGACGACACCGACCCCACTAGGTATATACCCGCCTGGTGGCTGCGGGACGACACCGACCCCACTAGGTATATACCCGCCCGCGCGCGCCTGGTGGCTGCGGGACGACACCGACCCCACTAGGTATATACCCGCCCGCGCGCGCCTGGTGGCTGCGGGACGACACCGACCCCACTAGGTATATACCCGCCTGGTGGCTGCGGGACGACACCGACCCCACTAGGTATATACCCGCCCGCGCGCGCCTGGTGGCTGCGGGACGACACCGACCCCACTAGGTATATACCCGCCTGGTGGCTGCGGGACGACACCGACCCCACTAGGTATATACCCGCCTGGTGGCTGCGGGACGACACCGACCCCACTAGGTATATACCCGCCCGCGCGCGCCTGGTGGCTGCGGGACGACACCGACCCCACTAGGTATATACCCGCCCGCGCGCGCCTGGTGGCTGCGGGACGACACCGACCCCACTAGGTATATACCCGCCTGGTGGCTGCGGGACGACACCGACCCCACTAGGTATATACCCGCCCGCGCGCGCCTGGTGGCTGCGGGACGACACCGACCCCACTAGGTATATACCCGCCTGGTGGCTGCGGGACGACACCGACCCCACTAGGTATATACCCGCCCGCGCGCGCCTGGTGGCTGCGGGACGACACCGACCCCACTAGGTATATACCCGCCTGGTGGCTGCGGGACGACACCGACCCCACTAGGTATATACCCGCCCGCGCGCGCCTGGTGGCTGCGGGACGACACCGACCCCACTAGGTATATACCCGCCTGGTGGCTGCGGGACGACACCGACCCCACTAGGTATATACCCGCCCGCGCGCGCCTGGTGGCTGCGGGACGACACCGACCCCACTAGGTATATACCCGCCCGCGCGCGCCTGGTGGCTGCGGGACGACACCGACCCCACTAGGTATATACCCGCCTGGTGGCTGCGGGACGACACCGACCCCACTAGGTATATACCCGCCCGCGCGCGCCTGGTGGCTGCGGGACGACACCGACCCCACTAGGTATATACCCGCCTGGTGGCTGCGGGACGACACCGACCCCACTAGGTATATACCCGCCCGCGCGCGCCTGGTGGCTGCGGGACGACACCGACCCCACTAGGTATATACCCGCCTGGTGGCTGCGGGACGACACCGACCCCACTAGGTATATACCCGCCCGCGCGCGCCTGGTGGCTGCGGGACGACACCGACCCCACTAGGTATATACCCGCCTGGTGGCTGCGGGACGACACCGACCCCACTAGGTATATAACATCAGCATCATCATCATCAGCTTAGTAGTTTGTTTTTTAATATTTTTTTTTCAGACTCCAGTTTTACAAGATTTGTACAAAAAAAAGTTAAATCTATATATTATTTAAGTTAAAGGATTCAATATTGTAAGAAGTGAGTGTGAATGTGTGTGTGTGTGTGTAGGAGGGTGTGTGAAGATTGGACTTTAGGTGTCGAGTATTGGTAAATAAAAAATAAAATATGATAATAATACTCAGAAAGTAAAAAATATATACACGAAATACATAATTTACATCTAAGATTTGATTTTAAAAGGTTGTCTGTGCTTACATAATTTAATTGTTTAAGCCAACGACAAACTTCATTTATGGTTGTATATACCCACTGCTGGGGCACAGGCTTTCTTTCCAACCCTTTTTCTTATTATATAATCGAAAGATTATTGTCTTTATAACTTATTGTTAGTAAAGACTTACCGAGTAAGTGACTTCAGATGCAGCTAGCATAAATGTTAAGCCTTCTATCCGAAAAATAAACCACTTAACTATCTTATATTTTATTCCCTCTAATACTTTAAATATTAAAAAGGAGCTACACAGATAATCAAAAGATAATCATTATGTGTCTGTAATTCAATTCAATCAAATAGCATGTATAAAACTAATGAGAACATTACCTTTACATATACTTAAAGTACTTGATAAGTATCATCTAATTTTATCTGCCTTTAAACTGCAGTTTCGTAATTCACTGTATCATACATACCTCTCTTAAATGTAGCATTGGCTACTATGTATTAAACTATATACACCAAATTACATACACTAACAGTACTCTCTCTTTCGCAGCTCCCCTCCGCCAGTAGAAGCAGGAGACGAGTCCACACGAGGTTCCGCCACTCTCCGCTGGGCGACTCTACGAGCCTCACACGCCGGCTGGTATCGCTGCCGAGCTACGTGGTTAGATGCGGAGTATTCTTCTATAGGATATTACCTCAACGTTATTGGTGAGTACAGTGTTTTGAATAAGATCATCAGTGTATTAATGGCCCCACTATTGAGGGCACATGATCATCCACATCCCTGCGGTTGGCACAGGGAGAATGAAAGCTCCACTTTAACTGCGAACCTCAAACGTTAGCTGGTATCGCTGCCGACCTACGCGGTTGTATGCAAAATATTCTTTTATAGGATATAAATTAATGTTGTTGTGAGTACGTGATTTTAAACAATATATCAGCCTATTAATATCCTTACTGCTGGGGCCCACGCCTTCCCTAAAGATAGTATTAAGCTGGACGCTGAAGCAAAGATGGATGCGAAGTATTCCTCCAAAGAAACTACCTCAACGTCATCGGTGAGTGTAGGATTTTGAACAGGGTCATCCATCATCAGCGTATAAATGAACTACTGAGTCACACAGCTTCCCTACGGATGGCATAGGCACAATGAGCCATGATCCACCACCTGAGCCAAATGTGGATTGGTGGGTATTAACAACGACTGAAGATGCAGCAAGGAACCACGGAGGAGCTCGAGATAATTCGCCTTTGGTCACCCATTCAATTATTTGTCATTACGAAACTACTTGAATTTCAAGTTAGCAGATCTAACTCGTTAACTGCCATCCAATTGATCCGATATGGAGTCCCCTCCTCCTCCTCATCAGCTATTAAAATCCCCACTGTACTAAATATTCATGAATATAAACTTTTTCCTGCAATAATGCAAATTAATTTGAGAGTTGCTAAAGCCTGTGATTTCGTATATGTAGAATAATTTTGAAAATTTAATTTAAATTTTGTTTATAATACCGCCTTGAGTGATTATTTAACATAAACAATCGATATTTCTAAGCTTCTTTTTTATTTAATTCTGCTTCTCGTTTTTTTTAACTGCTATAGATCATTTTTCCCATTCTTACTATCGTTCCCCTTTTCACTTCTTCCTTCAGTGTCAAACCTGTCTCCATTCCAAAATTTATCAAACTAAGTTTGATCAGCCTAACGTAAAAAGACACTTCTATAAAATATGTGTATGATTTTCACAATATTTTAAATTATGGGTATGTCTTCCCACTTTTAATGTATGGCATAATTTTTTGGGGTAACTCCGCAAATGTACAGTCGACATTTATATTACAAAAGAAATGCTTGCCTAACATGCTAAAACTTAACAAAGGAGATTGCTCAGCTTCCATACATGTTTGGCCTAAAGACCAATAATCATAAAAAAATGTTTCCTAGATTTATATATAAATTACTGTAGAAACGAATATTATTGACGGACACCCCTAAGAATTTCTATAAACCATATACACTGAACATATTAAAATAATAAAAAACAAATTAGTTATATAATAAACTAGGGAAATCAAACCAAGTACCGAAATTATGGATTAGATTCAGGTATATAGAGTATGTAGATTAACAGATAGTTGCCTGTTTTTAAAGTTAAAGCATAAGAGTAACTTTTAAAATTAGATGTCATTTCCGGTTATAATAAGGTACTCTGTGAGAGTAAAAGAGAAAAAGAACTTGCGATTGCAATATGCGTATAATATGTGTATTTATAAGTCATCTAGTTATATATGTCACAAAAGTACAATAAGAACTGGAATCAGGATCTTTAATAATTTACATAATTTCATTAAAACTTTAGAAAGTAAACGATTCAAGGCATAGGCAAGGGTTATTATCGAAATGTTTTTATAGTTTGGAGGAATATTTTAATGATCATTGACAATAAAATTGCAATTTATGGATAATTTCGAAATAACTGGTTTGAGTTCTTGCTATGAAATGTAATTTATATCTATGAATATAGTTCAGAGAGTAAATTTATTATAATTTTATGAAGCTATTGTATATTGAAATATTGTACGCCCGACATGGCAAACTGTTGGCACTACCAAATTTTAAGAACCATTTGTACACAGTTCTGGACAATAAACGATTATCTTATCTTATTATCTAATAGCTCCGGAAGATAACGCGGAACCGGTGACGGAGTCTCAGGATGAAGAAGAGGAGGCTGACCATCAGAAGGTGGAGGTTCCTGTCGGAGGGAATGTGCAGCTACACTGCCCCAAGGGTGAGTTTCTTTGTATGACAACGGATCAAACGAAATCAATTTAAGTATATAGTTTACTTTTTCTACAATTTTTTTCCAGAATATTGTGTTTTTTGTTTTTTTGTTAATTATGTGTATTGTCTGTATGGCTTTTGTAGTAACTATATTAGTATTAGTTGATAAAAGTATTTTTTTATTTTTTGTAAGTTAAAAACCTAAAAATGGGTAAGACATTAGTTGTATAATTTTGTTTTGCTATACTCCTTCGGGGCGCATGTTCTGGCTCCATGTACTATAGTTATTAAGATCTTTCATGTACCACTAAATGATTAAACGATATCTATCTATCGAAATAGATTGACTTAAATACTGTTTGAACGTGTATATAACGCGATTTAGCAGAAATTTCATTATTCTTGACCTTTCGTATACAATATATAAATCAAACTGTGATTAACTTTTCATTACTTAAAGTAATTCCATCTTGTTCTTCAAATATTTCGAGTTACCAAGTTAAAAATCTGTTATCTATATATATAAGACTCAAAGGTGACTGACTGACTGACATAGTGATCTATCAACGCACAGCCCAAACCACTGGACGGATCGGGCTGAAATTTGGCATGCAGGTAGATGTTATGACGTAGGCATCCGCAAAGAAAGGATTTTGATCAATTCTACCCCCAAGGGGATAAAATAGGGAATGAAAGTTTGTACGAAACTTTGTCAATTTTAAACCGATCGGGCTGAGACTTTGCATGCAGGTATAAGAAGAATCATAGATGAATGTCATTATGTATAATACAAGCCTGAGAACAAAAACTTTACTCTACACTTCAGCTCTACACCGAAGCGAAGCGAGGGCGGGCCGCTAGTATAATTAATATTACTTATTCAAGTTACTAAGTTCAAGTTTTAACCTTTTTTTATTCATGTTTAAAGTAGGTATCATTAAACTTATCCAATTATTTATATTAACAGTTTTAATTGTGCCTAACATTAAAAGATTTTTAAATCTGTTTAAATAATTGAATTACGAAAAATTCTTATTGACTTTTTAATTACAATAGACCAATTAATCAGAGAGTAAAAACCACAAACCTTAATTAATACCTTTATTTCGAACTAGAAATGCCTTGCGGTTCCACCCACATTAATTTAGGAGAAAGGTTATAGCGGGTCACCTTTAAAAGATAGACATAATTATGTGGTCGTGGTTTTTTTGATCTTTTAAAGAGGAACAATTCCGTTATACATGATTTTTGTGTGTGTAACTTTTAACGACTCCCAACGGACGCAACGGAAGCTTACAGCATTTTTTATTTTTGCTCCGCTCCTATTTGTCATAGCATTATATTATATAGCCTTCCTCGATAAATACACTATCCAACACAAAAAGATTTAAAGAAAATATAACTAGAAAAAATTCCACGCGGACCAGGCAGCAGACGGGACTTGAACCCGCACCCTTCGCTATCCGGGCGAATGCACTGACCAATTATGCTACCGGCGGCCCTGATGGCCGCGTCGAAATTCTTCTTTTTTAAGCCATTTTTAAGCTGCAAGGCAGCGCCATCTCTTCGCATTGTAGGTAACCCGGTTCGAGTCCGGTCTGCTGCCTGGTCCGCGTGGAATTTTTTCTAGTTATATTTTCTTTAGATTCAAACATCAAGCAGTCACATGCTTAAAAAAGAAGAAAACAAATATATAACAAAAAGATTTGTTCATATCGGACCAGTAGCTCTTGAGATTAACGCATTCAGGCAAACAAACAAACTCTTCAGTTTTATAATGTTGTACACATATATTTTGCATTATTGTTATTCGATTTGTATGTTGTTCATTTACTTACACTAGAAGAAATACTGAGAAAGAATGTTACTAAAACTTTGCTATGGTTTTTAAGTCCGAAAATAAAGTGTTTATTATTAGTGGTCAATAAAACGTTTCTCTCTCTCTTTCTCTCTCCACCCCCCCCCCCCCCCCTCTCTATAATAATATTAGTAATATTAATATCACACTCTTGTGATACTCGTCTAAAATTAGCTTTTAAAGATAGGAGTATGAAGTATTTTCTTCATGTATGAATTCAATGCCTTTTCGGTGACGCTTTAGACGAGACCAAAACTTATGGCCGTTTGTCGAATTTTTATATCTTCTGCCCTAGACATTTGAAAGGTCTCAAGTATGGTAGGAGTGCTTCACAGTGTGCAAGGTTGTCTCGTAGTAATCAACGACTCAGAAATAATAAGGAATACGAACTGCACAAAAAACTGGTTACTGCGATCAAGAGGACGGCGCAAAAAAAATGCGATCAACACGTCGATCATGGGAATCGTTGGGATTTCCGTTTAACATAATCTTAACTAATGAATAGATAGCCAAATTGATTTGCAGATATTGTATTGAAGTTTAGTTTTTTGAGTTTGGAACCATGTTTTAGTTGTCTTTGTTAGAGAGTAATGCTTGCATGTAATTTCTAATTCCTAAGTAGTGATGTTTATTGTGCATTTGCGATTTGCGCAAGGTGGCTGGCAGGAGCTGGTTGCGAGTAGCCTAAGATCGATCTCAGTGGCATGCAATTGGAGAGACCTATGTCTACCAGTGGACTAAGATAGGCTGTTGATGATGATGATGATGGTAGTGATACTCGGATTGTGTTGCAGGCAGCGTGGGTTGCTGGTGGCGCCGAGTGGTCGGCAACTCCAGCGAGTCGTGGGCGCCGGCGGGCTCACACCATGCACATGGTGTATTGGGTAAGAAACTTTGGGTATATTCTAGCCTCGACGATAGGGAAAAGAATAATTCAAATTCAATTCAAATATATCTTTATTCAAATATGAAGTTTTCTCTAGCACCCGTTAAGGAAATTTCTAAGCTGTGGAGAAAAACAGGCGAAAAAGACTTTAAAGCGTTAAATTATTTTATTTTATTTTATTTTATTGATTTAGGTAACAAACGGTCTCTAACAGTAATATTTGTTTAAATTCATTAATGTATGACTAGACCTATAGTACCATAACTTTAATTAATATTATGTTTAAACCGACGACCTCCGTGGCCGAGTGGTTTGTACGCCGGGTTTCATGGCTGTCGCCGACTCGAGAGGTCCCGGGTTCGAATCCCGGTGGGGGCAGATGTTTGTGTGATGAATACGAGCATTTGTACTCCAGTCATGGATGTTTAATATGTATTTATATTAATATACTTATATATGTACAGTATATGTATTCTATCCGTTACCCTAGCGTCCCATAACACAAGCCTTATAGTGCTTACTTTGGGGCTAGGCTAATTGGTGTTAAAAAAAAAAAAAAAAAAAAAAAAAAAAAAAAAAAAAAAAAAAAAAAAAAAAAAAAAAAAAAAAAAAAAAAAAAAAAAAAAAAAAAAAAAAAAAAAAAAAAAAAAAAAAAAAAAAAAAAAAAAAAAAAAAAAAAAAAAAAAAAAAAAAAAAAAAAAAAACAAATTGAGTCTATGAGAAACATCTTAGTCACTGTTTACAAAATGTTTCAAAATCTTTACAATGTACTAGTACAACATCTCGCGAACCAGTTTTCTGTAATTATTATAAGTACTTGAAAAAATGTCAATTGGTCAGGTTTTTATTATAAAAATCAAGTGATCGCCTCAAATAAGAGCTTTTTGTGTAATTTGTGCGATATGGCGGGACATAAAATGTACTCTTAGACCGTGAGGAGGGATGAGGAACCTTAAGGTGGATTTTATCTAACAAATTAGTGCAATCAATTCGGCAATTAACTATTTTATATAATACCATAGTGTCCAAAAAAGTGCGTCTAATTTGTAATGGGGTTATGTTATTATTTATCAATATATACAAAATATTATATTGTTACGGTGACAATTGCAAAATTAGGTCATCTAATTATAGAAACAGCCTGTTGTAACGTTTGGGACAGTTTAAACCCAAGCATTTTTGTCTGAAATGTAATCAGACACATTTTAATATGCTTTATCCATAAAACTTTTACAATAGTAAAACTAGTTATTACGGGTTAATGCACGAAACTTTATTTATTTATTGACGTTTCGCAGCCTTTTCAGGTCTGCATCGTCAGAATAATGAAAAACCCGTAAAAACTAGTTTTATTTAATGAGTGATGTGCGTGAAAACCTAAGAAACAAATATTTTATAATAGTAACTTTAAATTCATTGCGGCTCATTTGCTGGATATTGCTAGGGACTCTTTGCAGAAGCGTTCACAAAGACCTTTAAATGAATTATTGATTTTGTGGAGCCTAGTAATTGGTAGAGCTAATTTATTTTCGTTTCTAGTATGAAGCGAGAGTTTATCTTTATTTATAGGTAACGAATTAATATTTTTTCGAACATACATAAAATTTTCGTAAATACACTGAAACGCAACTGTCATTATATCGTTTTTTTTTATTTTCACTAAATGCGTCTCGCTGAACCAAGTGATTATTCTTTTCACACATAAGTAATCTCTTTCATAAAATTTTCGACATATTGGGAAATCTTCACTACGAATGAGACAGAAAATTTAGTAAGCATATGAAGATAAATTTAGTAAGCGTATGAAGATAAAGAAATTCTCTTTATCCTTTAAATTTTGCGATTAAAACTTAGGCTTCAGAATTGAAAAGTCATGTTTATTAAATTATTGCAGTTTAATAATAAAACTAGACTCATTTTCGTACTATCGCATCATACCACACCTGACTTTAAATGTAAATGAATCCCGTATAGCGAGGATGTGGTCTGAGACCAATGCCCCACACAGTGGAATCCTTTAACCCCTATATATTGATAGAAGAATTGCATCAAAAGCAGTGTTATTTCTTTGTGATCTTCTCAAGTTTAGGGTTAACTTTTCGAGACGGGAGTTCCAATAGGAGCGGGAACTACCTTACCTCTCTAAAATTAAACAATTTCCATCGGCAGGTATAAAGGATGCTTTGTATCAAGAAGGGGGGGAATACCGGTGTGTCGGTGCTCGGGCGCCCGACTTGAAACGACTGAGGGAACTCAAAAGAGTCACGCTTAAAGTCACTGGTGAGTCACATAATTGTAATCAACAACAAGCAAACAACCTACGATTAAGTTTAGGCTCGTATTTACGGTTTCCTGATTCGGTTTCCTGAGCCGGAATTCCGATTCGGAAACCTGATGCATGTCCGTACACACAAAATGTTCAATTAGGCGCACGTGATTCTTTTTTTTCAGAATTGAATTAACTTAACGTTCGGTTCAGAATCTAATTCATACAAAACTGAAACTTGTGAGCTAGACTCACGGAATTCCAAATCTGAATTTCTGATTAGAAAACCGTACGTGTGCGTTGTGCGCCCAGTCTTAAATGAGTTGTTTCATTTGAACTTTAACATGACTGCTATGTTCGATAATAAATATTCTTCTGCGTAGGCTCTAATCAAGATTATTCTGAATATTTGCTTTTAGATTCAAATAAAATGTTATTTTTATTATATTTTAATTTTTAAGCATTTAACTGCTAGTTGTTTTTGAACCCGCACCTTCCACTATCTGGGCGGATGCACTGACCAATTATGCTACCGCGACCTCAATGGCCTTGTCGAATTTCTTCTATTAATTCTTAGGCTGCAAGACAGCGCCATCTCTTCGCATTGTAGGTTACCCACAATGTTAACTACTTGTAAAGGTATCGTTTAATGAAGGATAGCAAATGGATGCGGGTTCGAGCCCCGTCTGCTGACTTGTCCATGTCGATTTTTTCCTAGTAAAAAAATATTTAGTAAAAAAATGGTTAAAATAACCCACCCCCTTTTCTACAAAACGCGGTTTAAAGTTGTTTTTGGTTTAAACCTAACATGGTCTCAGTTTTCTTTTTAGCAAACTATAGTGATAGCTTCAGTTTTAGTCCAGGGCCCTGTTTCATCAAATCGACATATGTCGCTGACATTAGTGATAAAAATGACAGTTATTTTGATACAATTGTCCGTTTTTTATTTAAATGATAATTGTGTTCACATCACAAAATTATTGTATGTACGATGTAATTGTTAAATTGTCAGTAATTCTTGACATGAAATCGGGGCTGTGTAAGATTTGCGATGCAATTGTAGTGTTTTCGTTGTAAGTTACAAAATGGCTCTCCGCGAAAGCTTGAAAAGATTTATTTCTTATACAGGAGAATTTATAAAGAACGAATAAAATTCTCCTTTAAGATATCACTGATTTAGTCAGTCAGTGACATAATATCGAATTGGTGAAATAGAGCACTAGGTTTATCTTTAGACTACGTTTTATAGTGAGGCGGAGAAAGTTTTCTTAGCGACTTAATATTTATATAGGGGGCGCGACAGCGACAGCTTTGAGCGCCGTCCCAGCCGCCGGCGGCTGGCGGCTGGAATGCGGCGCGTGCGGCAGAAACGTCAGAGTACTGTGGGTCCGTTCCGGAGTTACGGCTCGAGCTACTCGGGCCACTTTAAATCCGGATTTAGCTCAACATTGCTGGAGAGCGGTACTTCATGTCGTAGAACCAGATGAAGTCTGGTGTGTCGCTGCAACTCCTGGAGGAGGAGCCGTCGCTGTATTCCCGAGACGTGCTTCTTTAGCGAACCCTAACGACCCTTCCCCTGAACCAGCTAGGAGAGCCTTACATGCCGCGTCTTCTTCCCTATCATCCTCTTTTTTCCTTTCTCTGCTACCTTTACCAGCTCTCTTCTGCCGATGAGACTTTTGCAAGTAACGAACGCGTGTTCTCATGCGCGTAGTTCTCTGAGTTCGTTCGGGAGTCATAGCTCGAGCTACTCGGGCTACTTTAAATTCAGACTTAGCCCAACATTGCTGGCGAGAAGTTTGGTGCGTTTTTGCAACTTCAGGAAAAAGAAGCTGTCGCTGTATTCCCGAGACGGGCTCCTTTAACTATCCCAAATGACCCCTGAACCAGCTAGAAGAGCTTTACGCCCCTTACTTCTTTCGCTTCATCTTCATTTCTCCTATTTCTGCTACCTTTACCAGCTCTCTTCTGCCGATGAGGCTTTTGGAAGTAAAATGTGTTCCCATGAGCGTAGTTAGGTAAAAGAACCGTCTATGTAATAGATGATTTATGTGTGAACGATGGTAATGGCAATAATGGCGTCGTAATAAGGGCCAGATTTAAGGAAAAGGCGGCGAAACTGTGGCCCAGGGGTTTCCACAATAAAGATAAAAATAACTAAATATCGATAAGTCACCAACCAAGAGGAGTAGATCGCGTAGTCGGGGTTGTCAGATTATAAAATTGGAGCCCCCACGCCTTCTTTACCCCAGGGCCAACACATCTCTTAATCTGGCTCTGGTTCAAATAAACATTTAACTGATTGTATAGTATGCAAAGTTTAAGAGATATTTTTAGACGACATTATAGCACTGTGTTTTAGTAAAAGAAATACGAAACGGAAATGCACAGTTTGAAATTTAAATCACGCTGACTCTAAAAAAAGTCACGTTTAATATAATTATACTGTTAATGTCAAAGATGTTGATGTCTATTTAAACAAACAGCGGCATTTTTGGTCCTGTAATGATTGATGTAAGAATATCGTACTCGGTTATAAAGTTAGCCGAGTCGGAACTCTCAAATTGCTTCTAATTTAGAATTTGAAAGGCGCCATGGGAATTGTGAATAAAAGAAACTTTTAACGGTCAAAGCCGGTCGTCAATTTGAAGCTAACAAGGTAGCAATTGTAAGCGAAAACTTGAACAATTTATGAGGAGGCACAATGTTAACGCTCTTGTGAACATGACTTTTCAACACCGCGCTGCGAGGGACCGTTCCAAAATAGTTTTAAATGAATGTTTTTATATGAATATAACCAAGTAGTTGGTCCCTTGTAGCGCTGTGGTGAAACTAAAGTTGAGGAATACTCTCCCCCGTCCTATTTATAAACGGGTTATTGCGAATGTAAGCTCGTTACCCCTATTCTAGTCTTCGTAGTGTACTATAATCATAATTGGTCTTTAGTGTACCTATCTATCCTTAGAACCAGTCCCCTGCGGAAAACCAAATGCTAGTGTTTAAGATTTTACATTTATACATTGATATAACTTCGTTGTTTTGTTATCTTGAATATTGATTTTTCATTAAGTTTTTTTGAACGTCTTTGAAAAATTTCCTTATGCATAATACCGCAAATAATAACTCAAAAAAGTTAATAAATATTATTCAAATCAACATTACGGAGTAAAAGTAAAGGTATACGGAATGTGATTTCTCATACATAATAATTCCAAACAGTTAAAATCTGTAGGAGAATATTTTAAAAAATCAAATTAAAGCAACCAAACAACGAAGTTTATCGCTAATATAATAAGTATCTCATTCTTGTATAATAATTTTACTTCATATAACTGTTACGTACTCGTATAATCTTGAACCGGTATTTCGTTACATTAGGGCGGGCGGGTACTCCCGTCGTCCCGCCCGGATAACGCAGTATTGTGTTTGATTAAGTGTTTGTTATACAACAATACCCCACATTAGACCTTATTTCTGTCGCATCCTTTGCTTCGTGTCCCCAATTTCCTATTGTTAACTTATTTTGTAGCGTATTCATGAAACAGGAAGCTGATGTGCCAAATTGTTGATATTGAAAAATAAAGTATTACAAAATTTTAATGTTATGTTCTATAGTGTCTTCTGAAAGTGAAAATTTTGTGTAATGTGAACACCAATTGAATTTAGTCTTATTTATATTGAAATAGTCAAGATAGACTATTTCGTTGCCTATGTCAATGAAACTTATTCTGTATGTTTGAATTAAATCGGTTCAAGCATAAAGAATAGAGTTTAATCGGCCGTAGGTGTATATTTTATATATAGATGTCAAGGTCTTAAATAAAATATTAATACTTTATGTATCATAGCTTAAAATAAATCATGTAAATTTCGATGTCAATTTTAGACGTTCGCTTAGTGCGGACCAGGTTTTGTATGAACGGGTAATTTGCTACCACAATTTTTGCAACAACTCTGTAGTAGTGTAAATGTAAATTTTTATCAAACGTTTGATGTTATAATGTTATCGATGGTTAGTTGTATCTTGTGTTTAGTCTATATTTCTTTGTACTTTTCCCTTCTCTTTAGTATTTTTCGATGATTCTCTTTGAAGTGACAAAAATATTGAAATAAAAGCTCAGTCAATATTTTATGCCAGCTTGATTGACAAATTGACATGTTACACTGAGGTGAGATTATTCACATCACCCTTAAAAATGAACTCGACGAACGTGTTTAAGTAAAGTTGTATTTAATTTCACGCAGTTCAAAATTTACATCAAATGTTAAAAAGCAGTAAGAGATAAATTATGATCGTAGTTCTAGCCAGTCCACTTTTGTAGCCTCATTTGTACTATATTTCGAACATATGAAACTGATAGCCATTGTGCCATATTGACATGTTCCAATCCTTACATCGATCGTGATCATCGAAACTCATTTATTAAAAGAAACTAAATGATTCACAAACCTTTATTTTTGTTGTGGTGTCACCTCTCAATTTTGTAGTTGATTATTATCTCTTATAGCAGATTATTATGAGTCGTTATTGTTGTTAAGAATTGTGATATCATCGGAGGTGCGGGAGTGTCGCGGAAAATATAATAATATTAATATTGAAAGAAAATCTATAAACGGTGTCACTAAGGAGAATTTAAAAACAGTAAATATTAGTTTAGTTAGGACATAGTGAGATATGTGTATTTTTGTATTTAAAACGAAAGGTCAATTGCGAGATGATTTTTGACAAAAGAGTATAATAATTCAGTTATGTATTTGAGAAGTGTAACATGTAAACATCCGTCCATTGCGGAATTCGTAGATAGTTAAGGATCTAAGTAGCTCCCTTATCTTCTAGACCTATCCTCGACCTAACTGATGTTAATTAGCAGTTTTACTAGACGATTATATCTCTTGTTGTACTATTGGATTTGTATTTTTTGTGTTTTCTTCTCTTTCACTCCAACACACTTCGGCGTTAGTGCTGTTCTTATATTACTACTGTCGCATATTAGAGCCACTCCGCGGCCCCCGCTCCTCCTGTGTGTTTACTTGGATGATGTATTAATATTATTGTAAATATCGTACAGTCAATAGCATAAGCACCAGTAATGTCGATTGTGGAATTTGAGACAGCATGAGATTTTAGATTATTAACGATATCAACAGATTATTTTTCAAGATGTTGACTGTGCGATAAAAAAAAATCCACTGTATCAAAAATGATTTGTAAGTTTTCGTATTTAGCGTCCATTTTGATACGATCGAGTATCGCGTCTCGGTGCCAATAAATAATTTAATAGGTCATAATAATAATATATATTTACATTATTAATATACATTTTATTGTTTACTTTGATATTGAATGTACAGAATCCATAATATTCATCGCCATGTGTTTATGGAAACTCGTATACTGGATAAATAAACTATAAAAACACATTTTTGAATTTTCATTTGGTTATTCTGCCTTTAAATTAAGCAGTGAATTTAAATAGAGGTCTGTAAGGCTGAATGTCTAAGAGAGCTTTAGCGTTTCGGTATTAGAGTATATCTTTGCTCGACAGTGGACTTTCATAAAATTAATTTCAGTTAGAGTGCGTACAGAATCAGCGATGCGTGGAATCGAAGTTGGGAGTTCGTCAGAGCTTCGCTTCTGTCTGCGTTGTAATATAGCCGCAGAGTGTTGTAATGAGATCCTTTGTCTTGAATTTTATTTACATTATTAGGAAGTATTTTTTTTGAATGAGCTGCATTTGAATAATTCAAAAAGCTGGGAAGATATTCCAATTAAATGAGACTTGTGTTCTGCTTAATGTGAATCACCCCTACTTACTGTTTAGATTTTCACTTATACAAAAATATAATAAAAAGCAAACTATTGGATGTTATCCAAAGTAGAAAGTTTTAACGTGATACAAGTAACTTTACGTTAATTTCCTAAAAAAAACTATCCCCTTCAAAGATTTATCTAGTGATTGTTCTAAAGGAATCGCCATAAAAAAAGTTTTGTTTAAAATAAATCGCCTTAACACACACTTTTTTTTTTTGCCTCTTTTATACATCTAAACTCTATTCAACTTGAGACAAAAGGTAAACAAAACCCTTAAATTCTTCTATCTCTCAATTAGTTTCGTACCCTACAGGGTCCATAATGATCGTATTTTATCATAATGTATATTTAACATCTTTTTGTACATGTTGGTTATGCAATAAAGGAATCGAATTGAAAGGAATAAAAAGATTTTTCAATTGGTCTAAGTTTATAACGTGAATGTGATCAGTCTATTTAAACCTGCCATCTTTAATCTCGCCAAAAAAAGTTTTAGAAACATTGGTTTATTTGTTTACCTTTTGTTGCAGAGGAAGTTGAATAGAGATTAGGTAAGTTTTGATATGTGACAAACCCGAAAACTTTTAAGACACCGATTTTATTATATCACGATTTTCCTTTAAAAACTATATTATAAGTATAATAGAAACGCATGATGGGATTCTGCAAACATGAAACAAGACCGAGGACCCGATAAAAATCCCGTTACTGGTTATTTGAATAGTTTCTCCCGAACGAGTGTGGAATTAATGCGATCTGATTTATGCCATAACCGAACGAAACCGCTCGAACAACTTGACCCAAAGAATTTTTAGGATAAGAACACATAAATTATGTAACAGCGAACTTATAAAGAGATAAAAATGGGTATAACATAAGGGTATTCGGTAAGATCAAATCTTGTGATCGAAAACAAACCTATGATTCGGAACCCTGAGCTGAAGGGAGCATATCTACATAATTATCTATTAGATTAGTATTACTAGGAACTTTTTGGTGGAATGTTATATACACCGGTTTTCAAGGTATCGCCTACGTCGAGGTCTTGGATTCGAATCTCGTTTAGACAAATGTTTGTGTAATGAAAACTGAGTTTCGGCTGTTAATATACAAAAGCGAATTTTGTGGTACTAACTTTGTTACAACTCATTGAAACAACCTAGTGTTTAGCTTCTTTAGGAGGAGACCAATATTATATTTATGTTAAGAAATGTTGCACAAATATTTGTTTACATTTTTGAAGCATTAAATCAGAGTTTCGTTTAGTTATTTTACAAATTAAGAAACCATTTGCCTTTTGAAAAACATCTAAGAGTCCTCTCAATATTTTTTATAAGAAATCCAATGTTAGCCATCATCAGTAAAAAAGCCACATCTAAAGAAAAATAAAATGGGGCAATTAATAAAGAAAGTTCAAAGTAGGGTAGCCTTACAAAAGAGCTTTATTCAAGAACTATTCAAATAATGGAAATGAATGTTCGTCAAAGAACAAAGACTATAGGTACCTATTAATATCTGTACAAAAAACTAGAAATTGGAGGACTGCAAATACTGTTTAGGTCGTATTGAGTACCTGTATAAAAATTATATTATCAAGAAGGCTTCAAATGAAGTTAATTAAATGAATATGGACATGGTACTAATTAAGAAGCTCGATGACGCAAGCGGTTAGTGGATTCGACTGCAATCGTTGAAGTGAAGCAACTTTTGCAATGGATGGCGTAGGATACAATAATAATGGACAGGATTTGAGGCCAAAATACTTTTACTTTTCTGTGTCGAGAACTTTGAAGGCACGTTAAACCATTGGTCGCGGCTGCATCTCCAGTCACAAGCCTCCACAAATTCGCACTTGGCCTGCCTAGAGTTCTAAGCACACAGCATCCATGAATCAGCACTTAACCATCCATAGAGCCTGTGCTCCCGCAGTAAAGACATGTTTTAATTTAGTCTGTGTTAAAAGTATGGCACACAAGCCAAGGCCGCCCGAATGGTAAGAGGCTACTATAGCCTGTAGACGCTAGCGATACCAAGAATATCACACGCACCGTTACCTGGCCTGATCCAATCCCCTACCCCGTGGAGCCCTGGAACCTTACTCACCGACAGAAACACAACACCACCAAAAGGTAGTATTATTTTACTGTGAACTGCTGCAAGGTGAAGGTTACTTCCCCCATACGGGTGCTCCAAATCAAGCGAGAAAACCCACTGTACCCTATCTCTTTAAAATATATAATATTACTGTACACAGTTGGTGTTGTTTTAGATGGCACTGTAAACTTGTCTACAGATATCTATTTTCCATCATTGTGAGCGTGATGCAAGGCAATGTAAGGCTGCGAACATAAGTCACGCCGCACACGGGCACAAAACGCCGCCGCCTGCATATTTCTAGTAGTTTTCGTACATTTTATATGGACTCGCCACACAGAGTACGCCGGTGGCTGCCACACGCTACAAATCGTCGTTGCTCGCTTCTTGTGGCCCGCACCGGCCACTTAATGCGCCGATACAAAACGCCGCCACACGTCACTCGCGCGATTCCCCACCCCTCTCTCCCTTACCTCAGTCGGCCACTGTCGCGCGCTTCAGCCACTTTAGTAGCCGCTTCTAGCTTTTCGTGGCGGCGTTTGTGACTGTGCCGTGTGGCCCGTGTGCGGCGACACTAAGCGGAGGAGACGGGATGAACAACTATAAATATGCGTCTAGTAGTTCGACGTAGAAAAAACTTTTTATGGAATATAAAAATCGATTTCATAAAAACAAAATCACAAAAAAAGTTAATACAGGTCTCATTTCGCTCTACAGAAACGGGTTTAAATTCAACAAAGTCTTCAATACATCATTGAATCAGAAGCTTTCCGAGGTCAATGAAAACTATTATTGAACATGATTAAAAACAAATTCTAATACGGAACAGCACACCTAAGCAGCTTTTATTCCTACGCCCGCTCCCGCGACCGCATCTTCACGTTAACAAATCCGCAGCCTTAATAGTATTCAGTCGTACAGTCGGTTCGCATCCAAGTCAAACACGAGCGTGATTGGAAACTGTATAGTTTACTGCCAAGTTTCCAAATAATACGGAGGGGATCGATCCAACTGTTCTACTTGATAATAGTGTCAGAATGCCTCAACAGGGCATCAACCTAAAACTATTGATGGTATTTCGAATTCTTAGAACATGCAGTTCCTGAAAGCCTAGAAGTAAGTGGCTACGTCTGTTAACACAAGAACTAAAACAAAGAACATTATTTCTATGACGTTTGAGCGTACACACCCAAAGAAAATAGATTAACGAAAAGATTTCCAAACCAAGTATTACCCAACCAAAAAGTATTGGTGGCGCGCTAGCAGGTTGCATTTGACATTAGATCACTTTTTGATTCTGTATCGTAAAGGTAACTAAGATATTAAGTATTTTATTAAATTGCAACAATTTTATTTTTTCCGTCATGTTTAGTATGTCATCATCATCAGCCTATTAATGTCCCCACTGCTGGGGCACAGGCCTTCCCTATGGATGGAATAGGGAGATTGGGCCATGACCCACCACGCGGGCCCAGTGCGGATTGGTGGGTGCTAACGACTGCAAATGCAGCCGGGACCAACGGCTTAACGTGCCTTCCGAAGCACGGAGGAGCTCGAGATAGTAAATTTTTGGTCACCCATCCAATGACCGACCACTGCGAAAGTTGCTTAACTTCAACAATCGCAGCCGAACGCGCTAGCCACCTGCGCCATCGAGCTCCTCGAGTCGAGTTTAGTATGTCGTATTACATTCATTATTTTTATATAATATTCAGACCTTAACAACAAGCATCGGTGGTTAGGTGGTAGAAAGTTCGCCTGCTACGCGGACAGCCCAAGTTCGATTCCCAAGGTTCACTTGTGTCGTGGTTTCTTATGACTATACCAATGTTTTTAGTAGATGGCAGGAGCCGTGCAACTGGTTCTGTTTTGTGTTATTACAGACTACTTCATCTAAACTCTAGTCTACTTAGAAATTTATTTATACGTTTTTGCTAAACGCCGGCTGGCTGCCAAATTATTAATCGGCGACAAACGTCTGGAAACTAAGTACAATAAGATATTTAGATAGATATATAACACTTTATTGTGCACACCACATTAAATATTAAACATTAGGACAAAACTTAAAATAGTGAACAATTGGCGGTCTTAACGCTATATAATAATAATAATAAATTATTTATTTGTTTCAACATACAATTGGTACAATACACAAATAGAATGACAATAAATTTTAATTGAAACAAAAAGGTATGTGACTCAGCATGTGACAGTCAAGTTTAGCAATTTCTCCCAGACAACCATAGGATGGAGAGATTAAATTTAATAAAAGAAAAAGTGTGCTAATATAACAAATAAAAATAATTACAATAAGAGATTCACGATTAAACATACTCATAAATATCTACTATGCAAGTATACAAATATTAAATGAATGTGTAGAGAGACATACACATACATACATACATACATACATTTACATATTTATAATATTTTGAATATATACCTTTGTTGCTCAGCACTCTTATAAATTTTGGCTAAGGTCAGCCACTATTGTAGGAGGGGGTGCAAATA